CCCTCCCACCTCGGGAGGCGAGGGGGTAAGATCTCCCCATATCTCCCGGTACCTCCCGGTACCTCCCGGTACCTCCCCCCCCCCCCCCCCCGTCTCCCCATCCTCACCTCCCATACCTCCCCCCTCCTCCCCCGATCTCCCCCTCACCTTCCCCCAGACCTCCCCCTGTCTCCCGTTATCTCCTCCCTCCTCCCCCGACCTCCCCCTCACCTTCCCCCAGACCTCCCCCTGTCTCCCGTTATCTCCACCCACCTCCCCCGATCTCCCCCTATCTCCCACCCCCACGAGGCGGCGTGGCAGACGCGGTACGCCGGGAAGAAGATGCCGTACGGAAAGTGAGAGAAGAGCCACTCGGGGGCGAGAAGCAGCGACGCGGCGGGCGCCTAAGCAGTAGAAGAACCAGACGATCACTTCCTTGAGACACGCACAGCTGCAGCGGCGACGCGGCGGGCGCAGAGGCGTTGCCGGGCACGCGGAGCGGGGCGGCGGAGACGGCGCCCCACGAGTCCATCTTGCACAGGTGGACGACCTTGTCGAGGCTATGGTCTGGCTTGAGCGAGACGAGCCTGCGAGATATGGGGAGATATGGGGAGAGATGGTCTGGCTTGACCGAGACGAGCCTGCGAGATATGGGGAGATATGGGGAGATGTGGTCTGGCTTGACCGAGACGAGCCTGCGAGATATGGGGAGATATGGGGAGATGTGGTCTGGCGTGAGCGAGACGCGCCTGCGTGCGGAACACACCGACGTCCGGGGGCGGGAAGGCGGGACTGTGCAGACTACGGGGAGAGATGGGGAGAGATGGGGAGAGATGGGGAGAGACGGTGAGGTATGGGGAGAGATGGGGAGAGATGGGGAGAGATGGGGAGAGACGGTGAGGTATGGGGAGAGATGGGGAGAGATTCCGCTTCTAAAGGGACGAGCCGCTGGCGCGCCGGCGCGACATCGCCCTGCTGCTGCTTGCGCGTCCATCGGCCGTCCTGCATGGGTTCGGGTACCGGGTTGGTAGGGTAGGATTGGCGCGCGGCTGCGCTTGCGCGTCCCTCTCGGCCGTCCTGCATCCGCTTGGCCGCCTCCTGCGACCCCTTGTCTTTCTTGAAGCGGGCCTCGTAGAACTCGACGCCGGCCGCAAACGTGGGGGCGCCGTTGAGAGACGACGCGATGATGTCGTTCAGGTTGGCCTACCTCGCCGGGGTAGGAATGAGACGAGTGGTGAGAATGAGAGTGCGGAGAGAGGGAGAAGAATGGGGTGAGAGTCGTCAAGCACGACTATATACTCATCACAACAAGAGTGACTCAGGCTGGCCTGCTCGTCGGCATTCGCAAAATGCGGCGGCGTCGACCAGCCCGAGGAGGGGAGCTCCTTGACGGACTCTGGCCGGTAGGTGAACCGGTCGATGCGCCGGTTGAGCTCCTCGAGCACCCACGCCTAGGGTTCGGGTGCCGTGGGGGTAGGGGATGGGTTCGGGCACCGTGGGGGTAGGGGAGGCGAGCTCGATCGCCGCGCTGTCGCCGGGCGCCACATTCTGCACGTACAGGATGCCTAACGCGTGTTGAACGCTCCGAGTCGGCTAGGCGTTCGACCCGCCCACACACAGCAGCATCACCTCGCCGTGAGGCGGATCTTGTCGACTCCGGCGCGGACGAAGAGGGCGGCGAGGCGGAGCAGCTCCTCCGCCGAGAGGAGCCGCCGCGCGTCCGTGAGCGACACGCCGTCCGCGGGCATGCAGTACGTGCAGCGCAGCGAGCAGCGCTCGGTGAGCGAGATGCGGAGGTACGTGTGGCGCCGGCCAGCCGCCGCGGGTGGAGAGTTGGCCGCGCGAGGCGCGAGGCGAGGCGGTGCGGTGCCCACGTAAATAAGTTCCAGAGCGGAACCTTCCCAGCTCAGCCCGCGCGGCCGCCGAGACGGCGGCGGAGACGAAGCGGCGCGACGAGAGCCGCGGCGGCAATCAGACCGCGCCGACGAGCGGCCCGGCGCCGTGCCGCGCCGGGAGGGTGCATCTAGTGCGCTGCATCGTGGCATCGCGGCGAGAGGGGCAAGAGCAGGCAGAAGCGCTGCCGCGAGCGAAGCTGAGAGTCTGCCCGTCCGCCCGGTCTGGGAAGAAAACACGCGCGCCTTCGCACTGCCCGTGGCTTCTGGGGCATTCGTAGTGTGAAAAGTGTGAGAATTTAACAACAAAGTATAAGAACCGTCTCTTCACACCTCGAAGCCGCTAAGTCATTTTTCCGCCGCCACGCCGCTCTAGCGGCGCTGCGCGCCGCATTGAGAGCGCGGCGCGTGAACAGGAGCAGACGATGCGCACCGCGAGGGCCGTCTCGTGAGTTGGCGAGCCGGGCCCTGATCATAGCAGAAAGTGTGAACGGCGTCTCTTCACACCTCGACACCGTGAACGCCGTCCGGCGCCTTCTCGCCGCCCCAAGGGCGCTCCGCGCCTACCAAACAGCGCCGAGCGTATAGCACAGCACACGCGCAGCACACCCACTGAGCGGCCTCAGTAAAACGGCGTCTCAAGCCCTATTCGAGTCGAAAGGTGTGAAATTCGTCTCCACACCTCCAAACCGCTAAGTCTTTTTTTCGCCGTCAAACCGCTCTAGCGGCGCTGCGCGCCGCAAAGAGAGCGCGGCTCGTACAGAGGAGCACGTGCTGCAAACGCACCCCGAAGGCCGCCTCGTGAGCCGGCGAGCCGAGCCCTGTTCACGGCATAAAGTGTGAACGGCGCCTCTTCACACCTCGAGCCGTGAACACCGTCCGGCGCCTTCTCACCGCCCCAAAGGCGCTCCGCGCGGTACTAACAGCGCCGAGCGTGTAGCGCAGCACACGTGCGACACGCCACTTGCACGGCGTCTGATAAAACGGCGCCCCGAGCCCTATCCGAGTCGAAAAGTGTGAGAACCGTCATTTCACACCTCGAAACCGCTAAGTCATTTTTTCGCCGTCAAACCGCTCTAGCGGCGCTGCGCGCCGCAAAGAGAGCGCGGCGCGTGCAGAGGAGCACACGCTGCACACGCACGATGAAGGCCGTCTCACGAGTCGGCGAGCCGAGCCCTATTCATAGCACAAAGTGTGAACGGCGCCTCTTCACACCTCGAGACCGTGAACACCGTCCGGCGCCTTCTCACCACCCCAAGGGCGCTGCGCGCCGTGCAAACGGCGCCGAGCGTGCAGCGCAGCACAAGTGCGACACGCCACTCGCACGGCGTCTGCTACAACGGCGCCTCAAGCCCTATCCGAGTCGAAAAGTGTGAGAACCGTCATTTCACACCTCGAAACCGCTAAGTCATTTTTTCGCCGTCAAGCCGCTCTAGCGGCGCTGCGCGCCGCAAAGAGAGCACGGCGCGTGCAGAGGAGCACGCGCTGCACACGCACGGTGAAGGCCGCCTCACGAGTCGTCGAGCCGAGCCCTATTCATAGCAAAGAGTGTGAACGGCGCCTTTTCACACCTCGAGCCGTGAACACCGTCCGGCGCCTTCTCACCGCCTCAAGGGCGCTGCGCGCCGTGCAAACGGCGCCGAGCGTGCAGCGCAGCACACGTGCGACACGCCCCTTGCACGGCGTCTGCTAAAACGGCGCCTCGAGCCCTATCCGAGTCGAAAAGTGTGAGAACCGTCATTTCACACCTCGAAACCGCTAAGTCATTTTTTCGCCGTCAAACCGCTCTAGCGGCGCTGCGCGCCGCAAAGAGAGCGCGGCGCGTGCAGAGGAGCACACGCTGCACACGCACGATGAAGGCCGTCTCACGAGTCGTCGAGCCGAGCCCTATTCATAGCACAAAGTGTGAACGGCGCCTCTTCACACCTCGAGCCGTGAACACCGTCCGGCGCCTTCTCACCGCCCCAAGGGCGCTGCGCGCCGTGCAAACGGCGCCGAGCGTGCAGCGCAGCACAAGTGCGACACGCCACTCGCACGGCGTCTGCTACAACGGCGCCTCAAGCCCTATCCGAGTCGAAAAGTGTGAGAACCGTCATTTCACACCTCGAAACCGCTAAGTCATTTTTTCGCCGTCAAGCCGCTCTAGCGGCGCTGCGCGCCGCAAAGAGAGCACGGCGCGTGCAGAGGAGCACGCGCTGCACACGCACGGTGAAGGCCGCCTCACGAGTCGTCGAGCCGAGCCCTATTCATAGCAAAGAGTGTGAACGGCGCCTCTTCACACCTCGAGCCGTGAACACCGTCCGGCGCCTTCTCACCGCCCCAAGGGCGCTGCGCGCCGTGCAAACGGCGCCGGTCGTGCAGCGCAGCACACGTGCGACACGCCCCTTGCACGGCGTCTGCTAAAAAGGCGCCTCAAGCCCTATCCGAGTCGAAAAGTGTGAGAACCGTCATTTCACACCTCGAAACCGCTAAGTCATTTTTTCGCCGTCAAGCCGCTCTAGCGGCGCTGCGCGCCGCAAAGAGAGCGCGGCGCGTGCAGAGGAGCACGCGCTGCACACGCACGGTGAAGGCCGTCTCACGAGTCGGCGAGCCGAGCCCTATTCATAGCCAAGAGTGTGAATGCGCGCCGTGTGGAGAGCGCGGCGCGTACAGAGGAGCGCGTGCTGCAAACGCACCGCCAAAGCCGCCTCGTGAGCCGGCGAGCCGAGCCCTATTCACAGCATAAAGTGTGAACGGCGTCTCTTCACACCTCGAGCCGTGAACGCCGTCTAGCGCCTTCTCGCCGCCCCAATGGCGCTCCGCGCCGCGCTATCAGCGCCAAACGTGTAGCACAACACACGTGCGACTCGCCCCGTGAACGGCGTCTGGACAAACGGCGCCTCGAGCCCTATCCGAGTCGAAAAGTGTGAGAACCGTCTTTTCACACCTCAAAACCGCTAAGTCTTTTTTTCGCCGTCAAGCCGCTCTAGCGGCGCTGCGCGCCGTGTGGAGAGCGCGGCGCGTACAGAGGAGCGCGTGCTGCACACGCACCGCCAAAGCCGCCTCGTGAGCCGGCGAGCCGAGCCCTGTTCATGGAAAAAGTGTGAACGGCGCCTCTTCACACCTCGAGCCGTGAACACCGTCCGGCGCCTTCTCACCGCCCCAAGGGCGCTGCGCGCCGTGCAAACGGCGCCGTGCGTGCAGCGCAGCACACGCGCGACGCGCCCCTTGCACGGCGTCTGATAAAACGGCGCCTCGAGCCCTATCCGAGTCAAAAAGTGCGAGAATCGTCTCTTCACACCTCGAAGCCGCTAAGTCTTTTTTTCGCCGTCAAACCGCTCTAGCGGCGCTGCGCGCCGCGTAAAGAGCGCGGCGCGTGCAGAGGAACTCACGCTGCGTACGCACCGCGAAGGCCGTCTCTTGAGTCGGCGATCTGCGCCCTATTCACAGAATAAAGTGTGAACGGCGTCTCTTCACACCTCGAGCCGTGAACGCCGTCCGGCGCCTTCTCGCCGCCCCAAGGGCGCTCCGCGCCGTGCTAACAGCGCTGAGCGTGCAGCGCAGCACACACGACGCACGCCCCGTGAACGGCGTCTGACAAAACGGCGCCTCGAGCCCTATCCGAGTCGAAAGGTGTGAACATCGTCTCTTCACACGTCGAAGGCGCTAAGTCTTTTTTTCGCCGTCAAGCCGCTCAGACGGCGCTGCGCGCCGTGTGGAGAGCGCGGAGCGTACAGAGGGGCACACGTTGCGTACGCAGCGCGACGGCCGTCTCGTGAGTCGGCGAGCCGTAGAAAAGATATGTTTTCTTTTTCCCCCTTGTTTTCATCGGATGGCACAACGGCGGAGTAGTTGTCAGTCTCTTGGCACTTCTCGAACATGCTTTTGAGCCATCTCGCCGCCGTTGGCGGAGCTGAGTGCCGCCGCGCACACGGCAAATGTCGCACTCCGTGGGAAACGTCGGCGGCAACGCCGGAAATCATTTTTGAAATAAAACTCACCAGACAACAACGCCGTGTAAATGCCAACGAACCGTTTTGCGCTCCTAACCAACAGCAACACACACCCCGGCCGGAACTACTCGTCGGCGGATGTGGACCAGAGCGACGGCCCATCCGGCCCTGCATCATGGGATGCCCGGCTTGGGCGCCGGCGACGACGCGTACGGCCACCCCGAGGGCCTCTTAGCGACGGCAACCGTCGTGCCGGTGGCGGTGCCGGACCCGGTGGCGGGCGTCTTACGCTTGCCACACGGAGTGGTGGTGGCGCCTTGTGGCAGCGGCCCCGGAGGCGCGGCCGGTCGAGCCGGCGCTGACTCCTGACAAATGCGCACAATCTCGCTTCCGTAAGTGTTCATCTTGTCCATCCCGATGCCGTTGACGAGCTTGAGCTCATCGAGGCTCGTCGGGCAGCGGTCCGCAATCTTGCGCAGCACGGAGTTGTGCAGGACGTGGTAGGGCTCAACCTTGTCGGCCTGCGCCCGTTGCGCCCTGAAGGAGCGGAGCGCTGAGTAGAGGTTGCCTCCGCTTGCATCGCCGGCAGCCGTCTGCGGAGGCGCCGCGGGCCTTGGAGGAGGAGGGGCCGAGTTGGTCGCTGGCTGCCGGGCGCCGCAGGAAACGAGCTCCGTGTACGCAGCGTGCGACGTGTCGTGCATGTGACGAATGCGCGACCGGATTGCGCCGTTGGTTCGGCCGAATCGCTTGGCCAGCCTCGCCACGACGGCGTTGACCTCCTGAGTACCGGGAAGCTCGCCATCAGCCTGCAGCTGCACGTGGCAAAGTGCGTGCCAGACCGCCTTGCTGTCGTCGAGAGGCCACTGGCCGGGCATTGCTGTCAACCGTGGCCGATTGGTGGCGCGAAGGGCGGCTGTCAGATAACCGGCGAGAGCGCGAAAGAGAAATGTGGCATTGCCTTCGAGGCAAGGAAACTTGAAAATTTATAAAGGAAACTTGATAACAGAAAGAAAACCCGGTTTTTCTTTGCTTTGGCCCGACGCCGGCTCGCGCGTACGAGTTGCTCTCGCTCGCGGAGGAGCGTCGCAGTGTGCACCCACGCAACGCCTTCGCACATCCACACCACACTCGCGTAGCCATGGCATTTCACTCCGTGTGCGTGCGACTCGCACTCGCTCTCTTGCCCTCGCCGCCGCCTTCGCCGCCGCCGCCTTCGCCTCCGTGACTTCGGATCGCTTCCCCATTCTCGCACTGCCTCGCTCGCCACGTTCGACAACAGTGCACCACCGCTCGCTTCTCTCGCTCCCACTCACGCTTCGTGCTTCGCTACTAGGTTCTTCGCATCTACTTGGAGTGGATAGCGTCTGCCGCCTCTCGCTGCTCTGTCCGCTCTGCCACCTCGATGCCGCGGTTGCGACGCTCTGATGCCACTCCCTAGATCGCAGCAGCTCCATCGCTCGTTGCACCAAGGAGCGATGACGAGGCGGCAGCATCGCATCGGCGGTGCCAGCCGTTGTCACGCTCGGCCATCTCGCGCCGCCATCTCCACCTCTCTCACCGCCGCCTCAGTCTTCGCCACCACGCGATCGCCTCCGGCGAGCCCGCAAGCACGAAGCCGGCTCTCCTCGCACTCGCGTCGCTCTCCGCCCCGGAGGGATGGCCAGTTAGGTGTGCCAAGGTTGTGTGCGGTTAGGGTTAGCGGTTGCCGGAGCCGCGCACTCAAGTTAGGGTTACGTAGTAACACGCCGCGAGCGAGGGTTAAGCTAGGGTTATACGTCCCCCGTCCACGGCTCGACGAGGGCTCAAAAATCGATAAAAAGGGCCCACCCCGCGAAAAAATCGCGCGCTGCGCGCGCAGGAAGAGAGAGAAGGAGAGAGAGAGTTATTGCCGCCACCCGCGCACCCCCCTCTCGCCCGGGAGAAAGTTGACGAGCGGAGCGAGGCAACTTTCCCGGGGCGAGCGCCGGCCGCGCGCGAAAAACGGCCATTTCGCCAAAACGGTGGAGGCCGCCCCGCGCTACCGCCCGTCAAACCCGCACCGCCTGAAGCCCTCGGGAAGGCCCTCAAAACGCCGACGCGGGAGGCCGAAAATCGCCCCGCTTCAGAGCCCGCGCGAGGACGGACCCCACGCCGCCCCACGAGCGACCCGCGCAACCCGCGACCAACAGCCGTGCGGAGAATCGGCAGGAGACGTCCGCAGCCCCCAGGATCGCCCTCGTCCGATAAACCCATCGGCCACCATGACCATCCCCGCGCGCGCTGCAAATCTCCAGGCCCCCTGCTCGACTTTGGGCGACGACTTGATTTCGGGTGCTAGAGCAGCTCGCACGGGCCCACCTCGCCGCCCCCGCCCCCGCCCGCCCCTGCGCGGCAGGCCCGGCGCCGCTGGCCTCCCCCCCGCACCTCACGGGGCGCCATGACACCGCCTGCCAGGCGGCCTGCAGCAGTGCGAGACAGCAGAGCTGCTACATTCCTCGCCTCCCGGCGGCCACGACGCCGCCCCGTGGTCGAAGCTCGCAAAACCACGCACGGCCCCGCCCACACCGCTCACCGGACGCCCGCTCGCGCCGCCCGCGGACTCCTCTCCCGCCAAACCCGCCCCTCTCCTAGCCCCTCCCAGAAGCCGCCACACAGGCCTCGCCTCGCCTCGCCGCACCAGCCCCAAAAAGTAGGCAGCCATTTCTGGGGCTCCCAGGCCATTCCCTATCGCTGGTATTTTTTTTCCGGCGGAATTTACCGTCAGAACCGCATAAAAAGCTAGCAACAAACCCCTGCAGACGCATGTGAGACATGTGCCGAACTCCCCCCGTCGTGCTGCACTGCGGTGATCTTGGCGTGTTGCTCCGGCGCGCGCCCGTCGAGCAAGTCTAGTCCCTGCTCGTCGCGAGGGAGTGCATGCAGTCGCGCACGATCCTATCAGCGAGCAACCGTGCCTCGTCCAACGGCTCCTCCCGTGCAGCGGCTCAAGCCGCGCACGAGACCTGAGGTTCTCGAGCCCCGCCGCCTCGAGCGCCGGCCGCACGCGGCGTGCAAACGGACCCTTCCACTCGTTCCGCTTCCAGTCGTCGATCGGGAGCCAGCCGAGCGGCGAGCCGCCGCCGCCGCCGCCGCCCGCCGCGTTGAGGACGAGCACGCGCGAGGCGGGTGGGGTCGCCTGTTCACAGCGGGCGTGCTGTGAAGAGACGCGGCAGGCAACTCGGGCGGTCGGGGGGGCGAAGGCGTGTGTCTTCTCGCCCCGTCCGACATGGTGATGAGCGCCCCGGCGGCCGACTCGGGCGCCACGCGGAGCGAGGCGGCGGCGATGTGGGACACCTGTTCATTGACGGCCTACTCACTGATGAATCCTCCCTTCACGGCCGTGAATACGGCGGCGGATGTGCGGCACGTCCGCGGGCGGGATGGAGGGGGCGACGGCGCGGTAGTCGATCTCGTACAGAAAGTCGACCCCGCTGCACCACGGCTCCTTGAAGTGCGGCATGGGGAGCCAGACGCGCTGCTTGTCCGGCCCGCACCCGACCTCGATCGCCCTCAGGTGACGCGGCTCGATAGCTCGCTCCGCCCAGCGCGCATCCTTTGGCAGCGGCGGCATGACGACGCGCCGGCCGAGAAGCAGGCCGAGCAGCAGCAGCCGCGCTGCAAACGCGTCGAAGTCGGACATTGAGGCGAGGCCCGCCCGCAGCATGTCTGGCCCGGCCTACAAGAGGCATGGCGAGATCTGGGGAGATCTGGGGAGGGAGGCCCGGCCGCAGCAGGTCTGAGGGCTTCGCCACCAGTCGCTCTGTCCGCGGCGACACCCACGTCTCGGGCGCCACCTTAGGGGGGGGGGGGGGGAGGGGGAGATCGGGTGAGGTGTGGGGAGGTGTGGGGGAGGTGTGGGGAGGTGTGGGGAGGTGTGGGGAGAGATGGGGAGATGTAGCCACGTCGTCTCGTGAGGTGGGCGGGCTGTGAACAGCGCCTCTTCACACCTTGTCCGCCTCCTCATGCCACACGCCAAACGCGCGCATCACGCCGCGCCGCCCCCACTGCCCGTTCCGCAGCCCCGCCATGTGCACCATCACCGTCGGCACGCGGAACCCTGCTCACAGCCAGAGGTGTGAAGAGGCGCCGTTCACGGCCACGCGCGCCGTGGCCGGGGGCCGGGCGGTGTGGGGGTCGCCAGGCATGCACAGCCGCTGCTCGAGTGGGGAGAGACCCTCCCACCTGGTTCACAGCCAGAGGTGTGAAGAGGCGCTGTTCACAGCCCGCCCACCTCGCGAGGCGACGTGGCTACATCTCCCCATATCTCCCCGTACCTCCCCGTACCTCCCCGTACCCCCCCCTCTCCCCATCCTCACCTCCCCATGCCTCCCCATACCTCCCCCGATCTCCCCCTCACCTTCCCCCAGACCTCCCCCTGTCCCCCGTTATCTCCACCCACCTCCCCCGATCTCCCCCTATCTCCCACCCCCACGAGGCGGCGTGGCAGACGCGGTACGCCGGGAAGAAGATGCCGTACGGAAAGTGAGAGAAGAGCCACTCGGGCGCGAGAAGCAGCGACGCGGCGGGCGCCTAAGCAGTAGAAGAACCAGACGATCACTTCCTTGAGACACGCACAGCTGCAGCAGCGACGCGGCGGGCGCAGAGGCGTTGCCGGGCACGCGGAGCGGGGCGGCGGAGACGGCGCCCCACGAGTCCATCTTGCACAGGTGGACGACCTTGTCGAGGCTATGGTCTGGCTTGAGCGAGACGAGCCTGCGAGATATGGGGAGATATGGGGAGAGATGGTCTGGCGTGAGCGAGACGCGCCTGCGTGCGGAATACACCGACGTCCGGGGGCGGGAAGGCGGGACTGTGCAGACTACGGGGAGAGATGAGGAGAGATGGGGAGAGATGGGGAGAGACGGTGAGGTATGGGGAGAGATGGGGAGAGATTCCGCTTCTAAAGGGACGAGCCGCTGGCGCGCCGGCGCGACATCGCCCTGCTGCTGCTTGCGCGTCCATCGGCCGTCCTGCATGGGTTCGGGTACCGGGTTGGTAGGGTAGGATTCGCGCGCGGCTGCGCTTGCGCGTCCCTCTCGGCCGTCCTGCATCCGCTTGGCCGCCTCCTGCGACCCCTTGTCTTTCTTGAAGCGGGCCTCGTAGAACTCGACGCCGGCCGCAAACGTGGGGGCGCCGTTGAGAGACGACGCGATGATGTCGTTCAGGTTGGCCTACCTCGCCGGCGTAGGAATGGGACGAGTGGTGAGAATGAGAGTGCGAAGAGAGGGAGAAGAATGGGGTGAGAGTCTTCAAGCACGACTCATACACTCATCACAACAAGAGTGACTCAGGCTGGCCTGCTCGTCGGCATTCGCAAAATGCGGCGGCGTCGACCAGCCCGAGGAGGGGAGCTCCTTGACGGACTCTGGCCGGTAGGTGAACCGGTCGATGCGCCGGTTGAGCTCCTCGAGCACCCATGCCTAGGGTTCGGGTGCCGTGGGGGGTAGGGGATGGGTTCGGGCACCGTGGGGGTAGGGGAGGCGAGCTCGATCGCCGCGCTGTCGCCGGGCGCCACATTCTGCACGTACAGGATGCCTAACGCGTGTTGAACGCTCCGAGTCGGCTAGGCGTTCGTACTTAGCCCCCCTCTGCGCCCACAGGAGGCCGGCGTTGGCGAAGGGGTTGTCGGCCTGAACGACGATGGCGTGGTCGCGGTAGACCGTCTTGAGGACGGGGTAAGGGTTGGCGAACCTGTGGACAAGACTTCATCCGTGGAGCACGAACCGCGGTAGACCGTCTTGAGGACGGGGTACGCGGGTTGGGGGCGGGGCGGGGCGTGCCGACGGGGCGGTAGCGAGAGGGCGGCCGGCCGGCGGTGCGTGGCCGGCGGGCGAGGTTGGGGAGCTGAGGTGAGGGAGCGGAGGTGAGAGAGCCTGCGGGAGGAGGAGTGTCTAGGAAGTGTCTAGGAAGTGTCGAACCAGATCGTGTCCGCGTCGAGATGGAGGACGTTGAGGCGGTGCTTCACCACGAGCCGCTCGAGCAGCACCTTGCGAGCCTCGAAGAAGGCGAGCGCAACCTTGTTGAACATTGTGTTGTAGAGCGACGCCGGCCTGTTCACACCACCGCCGTGAAGAGACGCCGTCCACAGCTCCTTTACCGCCTGCACGAGGCGCGACACCTGTTCACACCACCGCCGTGAAGAGACGCCGTCCACAGCTCCTTTACCGCCTGCACGAGGCGCGACACCTGGGCGCCTCGAGCCGGCGCGGCCACCACACGCAGGCCAGCGAGGGGAGGGCGTCCCAGAGGGAGGTGCAGACGTCGCGTTCGAGGGCGAGGACGAGCATGTGGTAGAGGCCCATCGCACGGAAGTTGAGCACAAGGTTGAGCCCCGTCCGCATCGCGCCCGACCCGCCCACGCACAGCAGCATCACCTCGCCGTCGGCGGCAGACGCCGCGACGGCGCGAGCCAGTGTGTCGGGCTCCTCGAGGTCGCCGCCGACGCGGTCGCCCGGCACAGAGGGCACGTACACGCGGAAGGCGGCCGCGTGCCGCGGCCCGGCCGCCTTTGCCCGCTCGCGATTGAGCACTGCGAGCGCGGAGTCGCTGAGGTGGTCGCGGTACGAGGCGGAGAGCCCGGCGGCGCCAATCGGCGGCGGAGACCCGACCGGCAAGGCGGTCGCTGCTGACTGCATGCTGGATGGCCGTGCCTTGGCTGTCGCGCCGAGGGCTGCGGGAGCACGCTGCACCTGCGGCGCCGGCGCCGGCTGGAGCTGATAGGCGAGGAGCAGCAGCCCCGTGGCGGCGGTGCCGAGGCAAACCAGCGGCGAGAAGCCGCTGTTCGACATCGTCTGGCCTGCGTCTGCAAAAATCGACGGTTATCTGGCCGCGCCGAGGGAGGCAGCGGCCAGCCGCAGCCTGGGCCCAGAAGTTGTGGCTGCACGAGTACCAGGTAGTGGTTCCACAGTGAACACAGACCAGGCGCACAGCGCCTTAGGCGTCGGGGTGGCGAGCAGGGGACGCGGCTCTGAGCGCCCAGCGACGCGTGCCGGATGGAGTCCGGCCGCGGGTGACTAGGGAAGTTCGCTCAGGATGTGTGGCAGTCAGTTCGGCTGAGTGTCTTGTCTTGTGGTTCTGTGTGTCGCTCCTGTGTGACCGTCATCGCCCGTCCTGCGTCCACCCATACCGCGTTGGTGTCCCAGTCGTTGGTCGGACTGTGTTTCGCCTTCCCATCAATCAATCAGCGCCTAGGACGTATTTCTACGGATGCCAGCCGTGCTTTCGCGGGAGTCGTCTCTCGATCTGGGAGTGTACATTTGACACTGCACTGTGAGGGCGTAAGGGGAGCTGTGTGCTCGGCTGCAATTGGGGCCGGCCTCGTCACGTCTCTCTCTCTGGGGCTATGACGAAGGCGACTCTTGCGTCTTGGCCACACACATACACACACACACACACACACACACACACACACACACACACACACACACACACACACACACACACACACACACACACACACACACACACACCTCGCTCAACTGCTCGCCGCCTACTCAGTTGAGTTCGCTACCTCCTCCTCTCCACCATAGGACCTCAACGCGCCGCCGCCGCTCGCCCTTACGGGGCCCGCCGACGGCGGCGAGCCCGGCGACGGCCCGGTTGACGCCGATGCGGAGCGGCGCGAGGGCCAGCTCTCTACACTTGCGCCGAGTTCGTCGAGTTTTACGGCGAGGGCAAGCCGAGCGAGAAGGCGTGGGCGAAGGCAAAGCCGCAGTGAGCTGTCGGGGAGGCTCCCCGGACCCCTCCTGTTCCTCGGCCGTTGGGACGTCCTTCTGGGTGTGTGCTACGTGATACGGCTACGGGGCTTATACGGTACACGGGCGCGCGAGCATCTCTGTTCTTGCAGGCCCTGTGAGAGCCAAGATGTGTGTACGGCTCTACGACGTACAGAGGCTACTTTTCGTTTTCACCGTTTGGTTTGCTCACATCAAGCAAAAAAGGGCGCGACAGTGTGTATACTCTCATTCCCAAGATCGAGGGCTCCTCCAAGTAGAGCGCTGCACATTTTACTTTCCTTCCCCGCTGTATACTGGACCGTAGCTTACTCCGACAGGGCGACCGCCCTCTCCAGGTAGGTTTGCCGCTCGCTGGCCGTCGGCAAGGCGTCCCACTCGAAGAATGGAACGCTGATCACCCGCCAGCCGGCCGCCGCGAGGAGGCGCCGCTTGAGCAGCGTCGGCCCGTTGGGTCTGCGCACGCCCCGGCCGTCGGGCAGGAGGAAGTGAAAGGGGCCGTCCACCTCGATCGCGATGCGTGTCGAGGGTATCGCCAGGTCGAGCGAGTAGCCGGTGAGCGGCTCGAGACACTCCTCCTCGAAGCCGTGCTGGACGGAGGTGAGGGCAGCTGCAACCGAGCGCTGCAAGCCTGACGGCCGAGCTAAGTTCGCGACCATAGCGTCGCGGCAAAGCTGGCGCTGTGAGTCGGGAAGGAGATACTGCTGCCCGTCTTCGCCTCGCTCCAGGGAGAGCCAGAGCTGCCATTGGTGCAACTGAGAGTGGTGCTCAGAGCTCCACCCTGACGGATCCTGCGCAAGCGAGGCGCTGACCGTGCGCAGGCACTGGGCAAGCAGTGCCTGGTGACAATAATCTGCCGTCGCATACGCCCACACCATGTTGGCCAAGTTCTGAGAATTGAAGCCAGCCAGCTTGTCGCGCATCGCCGCCTCCGCCACCGCCGCATACAGCGCGTCTGCAGCTACGCCCGCCGTCGCATACGCCCACACCGTGTTGGCCAGCGCCTGAGGGTCGAAGCCAGCCAGCCGACTGCGCACTGCCGCCTCCGCCACCGCCGCATACAGCGCGTCCGCAGCCACGCCCGCCGTCGCATACGCCCACACCGTGTTGGACAGCGCCTGAGGGTCGAAGCCAGCCAGCCGACTGCGCGCCGCCGCCTCCGCCACCGCCGCATACAGCGCGTCTGCAGCCACGCCCGCCGTCGCATACGCCCACACCGTGTTTGCCAAGTTCTGAGGCGTAAAGCCGGCCAGCCCGCCGCGCACCGCCACCTCCGCCACCGCCGCGTACAGCGCGTCCGCAGCCACGCCCGCCGTCGCATACGCCCACACCGTGATGGACAGGTCCTGCGGGTTGAAGCCAGCCAGCCCGCCGCGCACCGCCGCCTCCGCCACCGCCGCATACAGCGCATTTGCTGCCACGCCCGCCGTCGCGTACGCCCACACTGTGTTGGACAGGTTCTGAGGCGTAAAGCCGGCAAACCCGCTGCGCACCGCCGCCTCCGCCACCGCCGCGTACAGCGCGTCCGCAGCCACGCCCGCCGTCGCATACGCCCACACCGTGATGGACAGGTTCTGAGGGTTGAAGCCAGCCAGCCCGCCACGCACCGCCGCCTCCGCCACCGCCGCATACAGCGCATTTGCTGCCACGCCCGCCGTCGCGTACGCCCACACCGTGTTGGCCAAGTTCTGAGGCGTGAAGCCAGCCAGCCTGCCGCGCACCGCCGCCTCCGCCACCGCCGCATACAGCGCGTCTGCTGCCACGCCCGCCGTCGCATACGCCCACACCGTGTTGGCCAGCGCCTGAGGGTTGAAGCCAGCCAGCCCGCCGCGCGCCGCCGCCTCCGCCACCGCCGCATACAGCGCGTCTGCTGCCACACCCGCCGTCGCATACGCCCACACCGTGTTGGACAGTGCCTGAGGCGTGAAGCCAGCCAGCCCGCCACGCACCGCTGCCTCCGCCACTGCTGTGTACAGCGCGTCTGCAGCCACGCCCGCCGTCGCATACGCCCACACCGTGTTGGACAGGTCCTGAGAATTGAAGCCAGCCAACCTGTCGCGCACCGCCGCCTCCGCCACCGCCGCGTACAGCGCGTCCGCAGCCACGCCCGCCGTAGCGTACGCCCACACCGTGTTGGCCAAGTTTTGAGGCGTGAAGCCAGCCAGCCTGCCGCGCACCGCCGCCTCCGCCGCCGCCGCATACAGCGCGTCTGCTGCCACGCCCGCCGTCGCATACGCCCACACCGTATTGGCTAGCTCCTGCGGGTTGAAGCGAGCCAGCCCGCCGCGCACCGCCGCCTCCGCCACCGCCGCATACAGCGCGTCTGCAGCTACGCCCGCCGTCGCATACGCCCACACCATGTTGGCCACGTTCTGAGGGCTGAAGCCAGCTAGCCCGCTGCGCACCGCCGCCTCCGCCAGCGCTGCGAACAGCGAGCTCACCACGCTCGCTGGCAGCCGGCATTTGGCAACACCGTGAGCTATGTTCGACAGAGTTCGCGCCTCGCACGACGAAACGAGGTCGAGCGTACGTCGCACCAGCTGCTCAAGCTGCTCCTCGTGCCGCCGCTCAATGTTCTGCTTGCCGAGCTTGTTCCACAAATTTCCTGCATGGATGTGATCCAAGCCCGTGCTGTGGGCAGCGAAGAGCGTGAGCAGCTCTTCGGTGCCGCTGGCATCAGAGATGCGGTTGTTGAGCTGCTTAGCATTGCACTGACCACCGGCAGCACTACGGCTGGGCTCGACGCGAATGCGCGCGTCGCTGCTCTGTTGCTCGTCGCGCCGCCAGCTGCTGTGGTCGAGCGACTCGTCGCGGGGTCGCTTGCCACCGCCCGCCAGACCACCGCCCGGAGGCCTCGGCAGCGGGTGGGGCGGTAGCGGGTGGGGCGGCGGTGGGTGCGGGCGCAGGTGCGGGTAGGCGTGCGGCTGCGGCGGATAGGCCTGAGGTTGTGGTGATCGGTACTGTGGCCGCGACTGCGGCGGAAGTGGCGGCGGCGGCCAGCTGTGCCTGCGATCCACTCCTGAGCCGCTGTGCTCGGGCGGAAGGGAGTACTGCAGCTGCTGGTGCGTTCCATGCGGCGGAGGATAGGAGTGGCGAGGCATCAAAGAAAGCGGCACACACTGCGGGTGCGGCGGGTGCGGCGGGTGCGGCGGGTGCGGCGGGTGCGGCGGGCGCGGCGGGCGCAGGTGCTGGTAGGCGTGCGGCTGCTGCGGATAGGCCTGAGGTTGCGGCTGTCGGTTCTGTGGCCACGGCTGCGGCGCTTGCGGCGGCGGCGGCCAAGTGGGCCTGCGATCCACTCCTGCGCCGCTGTGCCGTGGTAGTGGCATGAGCTCGGGCGGACGAATTGAGTACTGCCGCTGCTGGTGCGGCGGACGAGGATAGGAGTGGCGAGGCAACGAAAGCACAAACTGTGGATGCGGCGGATGCTGCTGCGGATACAGAGGCTGCGGGTGCTGCGTTGGTTGCCACTGGTTGCCACTGGCCTGTGGCCTGGCGTTCGTTGGGGACATCGACGAAAGAATTTTACAACAAAACTCCCTCGCACGACACTGGGCACAGGACTGGGCACGGGACTGGCTCGCACTGGCACTAAAGAATTTAAACAAGACAACTCTCTCTCACAGCACACAGGCTCGACACAGGTGCGAACTGGCGCGTGCTAGTACTATCACCGGCACACCACCGGAGCCGCCTAAGCGACTCCGTTAAGAACGGCAATGCACTTAGCTCCGTGCACAATGCCGCTGTCCCCGCACGCTAGCTCGTTCACCGTCTGCCACGCCACGGCGGTGTGGAGAACGACAGACAAGCGCTGCATCTGCAGCCCGTGCCAGTTCTTGGTGGTCCACGACGGCTTGCGCGCGTGCGGGCTCGAGCGCGCGGGGTCCTGAGCTGCTTCCGCGGCGACCTGGCGCGGCGTCGATAGAGGCTGCTAGCTCCATGACGCTGCGCTGCGAAGGCCGCCGCAGTGTCCGCGTCTCCGCGCGCGGCAGCGTCACTCACTCACTCACTGGACACCGTGCCTCCAAACAATCACTCATTTGGTATTGAAAATCTCTCTCTCTCTCTCTCTCTGCCTCCAGCTCGTGAGGAGGGCGGAAGTAGTGCTTGCATGCGCTTTAGGCAGAGCGCAAACGCGAGAGGCGCTCCGGCCACCCAGTGCGTCCGAATGCTGGCCAGCTCCACCCTAGGTAGGCTCCACCGCATCCGCAGGATGATACATGTAGAGACCAATGGGCGCACGCGCTGCGCACGCGCTCGGGCAGGCGCAGGCCGGCGGCACAGGTCGGCTCATGTCCTCCCATGGCGCGGCCGTCATCACCCTTCAAGGTATGTCTGTGGGCCCGAGAGCGATATGCCATGTCCGCCTTGCGTTTGCTTCATAACATCGAGGGCTAAGCTCAATAAAAAGTATCCGAGGGTTTTTTGCTGTTTTCTTGCTTTCTGTGCCAGCCTTGCGTGTGAGTGAAGGCTAGCTCAGAAAAAATAGACAGAATAAACAGATAGCCCCAATTTTTGTCAAAGTTGTTTCTTCGTTCGTAAACCGCATCCGCCGGGCGGCGCTTTCGCCCCGCGCTCGCTGTTCCCCGCAGCGCGACCGCACGAGCAGGCGCTGGCCAAGTCGCTCTACGTCCCGATCGGCGGCATCGTCGCTGAGGCGCCAGAGCAGACCTCTTCTCACCCGGTGGCATGGTGCGTGAGCAGTGCTGCGTGAATGCCTCTGAAGTTACACCGAGCGGGGACGGCCGCTCGCTGTGCCGTGGCGACGAGAGCGTCAGCTGGCTGCCGGCACGAAGCTGCTTGGACGCGTGCCGCATCCCATTCAAGCGCGCAAGACATGCGCTGGTATGCAAGGAAGGCAGATTTGCTTTCTACGATCGCGGCACGATGGTTGACTGCCTTGGCCGGCTGCGTGCTGGGCAGCTGCAGAGCGCGAGTGGCATGCGCTCTCAGTTTGTCGACTTCTGCGGCCCCAGCGCTACAATCCTCTTCCTGGGCGACTCGATCATGCGTGGCATTTTTCGTGACTTCTTCCTCGACGAGCACGGCACTCGCGTGGGCGACGCTCCCCAGGTGACGTTCAATCACACGGCACGCGACCCCAAACGGAATAAAGGGAACGACGTGCTGTGCGGTGTGATGGGCTCGCACCGGCTGCACTATCGCTTCCTGACATCGCTCTCCGACCTGAGTAAGGTCAACAACATTCACCTTTCGGTCGGTCAGCGCGCGTCCTTTTGGTACCACGCTGCCAACATTGACGATTACTTTCGTATCTACCCGCCGCCCCACGTGGTCGTGCTTGGATCTATGGCGTGGGATCTGATGATGATCCACAACATCACCGACTACACCATCGAGCTCGAACGTGCCCTCGTGCAGCTACGCCGGCTCGCGCCGGCCGCGCGCCTTGTGTTCCGCCTGGGCACGCCGTTGGCGAACGCGAGTCCGAAGTGGCAGCAATCAAACAACGGGCGAGGCCCTCGCTTCAACTCGGACGCAAAAATCTACAATGCGATCGCTCGCAAGACCGTCGCCCGGTACGGTGGCGAGATCTTGGACGCGCACGCGGTGGTCGAGAGCCACCCGAACGTCATCTGGGGCCCCGGCGCAAATTCGCTCCACTTTTACTGCAAGGAGACGTGCGATTGCTTCGACGGCCGTGGCGAGGGCGAAGCCAGCATCGCGATCGCGCAGAGGCTGAAGAATGTGCTCTGCAACCCGAGATGAGGCAGTCGTCGCTGGCGCACGGGGGCGTCGCTCCGGCGGGCCAAGATGGGGACGTGACCGACTGCAATATTCCAGGAGGCCAACCGCTGCGATCGTCGTGCGATGGCGGACAAAAGAATTTTTGCGCGAGCCCGCGCTCGACGGCTTGCGCGCGTGCGGGCTCGAGCGTGCGGGGTCCTGAGCTGCTTCACCGCGGCGCCCAGATTTGACGCTTGCTGACGTTGCTCTCCACCCCGCTCCACCTCCGAGCGAGGTCGTCGCCTTCGAGCATCGCCTCGAGAGCAGGCCTCGGCGCATCCGCAACGTATGTGTCATCAAAAGACGACCAGGTAGGCTAAAATGAGGGCGGACGGGTTGCGCACTTGCATCTCGAGGAGCGTCCAGTGGTAGCCGATGGCGAAGAGGAACGGGCCGAGCGGGTCTCCCTGCGCGCATCCCTCGGCCGACACGAAGACGTTGCCGTCGCCGTCACGCGCCTCCTCGTTGAAGAGGAAGAGGCGGCGCGGGACCTTGTACCACAGCGCCACCGTGGGGATGAGCTCGGGGTACCAGCGGCGCAGACCGGCAAAGATGGCCTCGCGCGAGATGGAGTTAAAACCATTCCGCTTGTCGTCCGAAGCGACGGCGTGGCCCGGGTTGCGCCGCAGGTGCTCCGACAGGAGCTGCACGGCCACCTCAGCGCCGCCTGCGAGGCCCACGCCGACCTGCAGAGGAATGTTCGACGAAAGAATTTCGGTGCAACGCGACTGGTGCGCACTGGCATTGACACAGGCACACTCGGGAGCCGCCTGTGCCACTCCCGCGAGAGCGGCGAGCACGCGCGTTTTTTATTCCGTGTAGTCTGACCCGAGTCATCGAGCTCGACGTGCGCCGCTCCTCACAGTAGAGGCTATGTGGACTATAGTTGCAAAAAGTCTCGGGTCTCGCCTGCAAACCCCGCCAAAAACTGCGAGAGATGCTGTGTGTGTGTGTGTGTGTGTGTGTGTGTGTGTGTGTGTGTGTGTGTGTGTGTGTGTGTGTGTGCGCGTGTGTGTGTGTGTGTGTGTGTGTGTGTGTGTGTGTGGAAATGAATACGTCCGGAGGGCCTCGTGCGGCTCCGTCGGCACCGCAGCGGCAAACTGAGCGAGGCCGGCGCCGCTGAGGATGTACCCATCCGAGTCGCGCCGCTCGGTGCACTCCTGCTGCGTCATGAACACGCCGGGGTCAGCGCGGGAGTGCGAGAGCGTGCAAGGTATTCCGAGCACCGCGTGGACACGAGGGGTACGAGTAGAGGGAGCTCCGCTGGAGTTCGGTCGAATACGGCCGACCACGTGTCCTCTTGAGCGCTACTTGCAATACAAGACTACGCATTCAGCTTCTGGGACACTCCTCCTCACTCGCCGCTGCGGCCGCCGCGCCGCCGGTTGACGCGCAACGCGCGGCTCCAGTCGGCTGCTTGAAGCCCAGAAAGGTGAGGAGGGCCTGCGGCGGGTTGTCGGCAGGGAAGGCTGCGGCGGTCTGGCGCAGGTACTCCTGCAGCTTGTGCCGCCGCTCCCGCTTGGTCGCGTCGCTCGCGCCCTTGATGCCGTACGTCTTTGCCACCGGGAAGGGCACCTGCGCGGAGGACGGCGATGTCGTGCAAAGGTGGTGAGGCGGTGGTCTGTCGCGCTTGCGGCGCGGCGGTGTTGCGTGGCGAGGCGTTGCGGTGCAGTTGGGCGACGCGGTGAGGTGGCGGCTTGGCGGGAGAGGCACCGCGATGCCGAGCGCAGCGTGCAGCTTCTCAAACTCGGAGAAGCGGCGAAAGGCGACGGTCGGCGCAGCTCCCTCGGTGGCGGCGGCGGTGGCCACCTTGTAGCGCGTGTGCCCGCCCTCGTCGGAGAAGGAGGGGACTTCGATCAAAAGCTTGAGCATTCGCAACGCGTGCGGCGGCCGACACTAGGAAAAGAATTTAAACACAAAAGAGCCAAAGTGCAACAAGAAAAAGATCCTCGGGTAATGACGGCAAAAGCTCGTGATGCCACGGAGAGGACCCGAGAGTGTCCCCGGTGGACCCAATCCGAGGCGATTGCGAGGGCATTCCGGAGGTCATCATCGGCGCCATCGACGGTGTGAATGGTCCCGTCCTGGACCCGCGGACCGTAACATCGGGGCCGAGGTGGGTCGTGATGACGTTGTCCGTAAACATATAGTCGTCGTCCCCATGCCGGAACGACGACGACAAGACCAGATGATCAATAACGTGGAAGCTCATGATGCGGAGCGCCTCAGTAGGGTCGCTGAGCAGAGCGTCAAATTGGGCCTTGTCGGTCTGCTCGAGATCAAGGAACGCGGCATCCAACGGACAGAAGATCGTGTAGTTTTGGGACGCGGAGTTCAGAACCGAGTCCAGCCCGGCAAGCGCGACGGCCCGTGCGCAGTACACTGTGTTCACCAGAGCAGTCGCAAAGTCGGGATTTGTAAAGTACTGCACCTGATCCCACACCGTCATCTGGGGACCGTAGACGTCCGCTTCTAAGCAATGACCCCTGCCTACAAGTTGGCGCCGGTTGGCGTGCTGCGCCTCAGCCGCAACTGCGCCTGTCGCCCACATCGCGAGTAGCATCGAGAGGTGGACGTCCTGATCGAAGAGCAAGGGGCCGAAGATTGCAAGTCAGAGCCCAAAAGCCAAAATTGGGGCGGCAGTTGGGACGGCCGCGAGAAAACGTTCCTCTGTGTGGCGGTCCGGCTCATGTCCACAGTCAGAGAGAGAGAATTACACCTCGCTCGGGGGAGTGGTGCGGGCGGTGGCGGGGGAGGAGGCAACACAGCTCCCTCGCACGACACTGGGCACGGGACTGACTGACTGGCGCGCACTGGGGCACTACTACAGTGGGTTGCGGGCATTAAGAAAACGTAGCATTAAGAAACCACGCCGCCTCGTCCAATCGTGGCGAGCATCTTACATGTTGTTTGTACATACCAATTTACAATTGCAGTGGAATTGCCAAAAAACGCACACTGAATCTCACGACACATCCGACAACATTTTTGCCGAGTGGTCATGTGTGTGTGTGTGTGACCACCGTCTGAATTCGGACGCCTGTGCTACCCTTCACACACGCTACTAGCACGGCGCATCCCGCGCCGTGCCCCCAATGTCAATACTCGACTCTCAGCTTCCTTGTGCTCAATCTTGTCACGGTCCTACGTCCCTTGCGAGCGTTTGCGTGAAGCAGTGCTTTGACCCTTTACAGTCCTACATAGAGCCAGCCACCCTCCGGCTCTGAGCCTCTGCGCTCAAACGTGGTACCTTACGGTGAGGTGCACTCCACCCCCGAGGTTATGGCGGACATCTCCGCCACGCCCAGCAGCGAAAAAATGACCTATCTGATCACCGACTACTCTGGCGATCCCGTCACTCTCGACGACAACCTCGGCCTGCGCCCTCGCGCCTGCGCCGTCTCCGGCCTGCGCCCCTGCGCCCGCGCCATCTTCGGCTCAGCGCCGCCCATCATCCAGCTCGCCCTCTCCATCGCCACCTCCATCTTTGTCGTCACCGTCGACTTTGTCCACTACTTTCTCACTGCCGCCCGCCGGCTCGTTGTGTGCGCTCGCGAGCGGTTCACCGCCGCTTGCGCTCTCTCTGCGGCCTGCGTGGCTCGCGCCAAGACTCGCATCGCCTTCGGCTCCGGAGTCTACTGCGTTTTCACCATCCTGCTCACCGTCACCCTCGCCGTCGCTGTTTCTGGACCAACACCAGTGCCAGTCCCCGCAGAGCCGCTTCCAGACATGATCTCCATCAACGGCGCCTGCCATTTTGCGCTCACCAGCTCCTCTGCATCAGCACAGCCTCCAGGAAGGCCGCCAGGCGCTCCCGGAAGGCAGCCCGATGGATGGTTTACAGCCGTCCTCACAGGTCCGTCCATCAACAACATCATCGCCGGCGCCGAGACCCGGCGCAGCTCAACTTCAACTTCAAATCACCCACCCTGCCCCAGTCCCAAACGAGGGTGCCGACGATGCGGGCCATCTCGTGTTGGGGGGGTTGCTTCGGTCGAGTCTACCGGTCGCCGCCCAGCTCCGTTGCCGTCAGCTGCCCCTTGCCTCCTTCACTACTGCCATCGGCTGCAGGCCGACGCCGACGCCTCCTGTCAGACCTCTCATCCGGGGCGACGGCCGTGGGGGGGCCCGGGGGAAGGGGGCGCAGCCCCCGACCCGGCTGCCGAGGCACCAGCCGAGGCTGCCATACAAGAGGACGAGGCGACAGCCGAGGCCACTACCCAGGGAGCCGAGGCGACAGCCGAGGCCGCCGCCCACAAGGCCAACCAACCAGCTGAGGCCTCTGCCCCAACGGAGGCCGAGGCGCCAGTCACAGCCGCCCCAGCCAAGGCGCCAGCCGCCGCCGCCACACGCAAGCTCTGGTGGAACCTTTTTAGAATTTGCAACATCAGCGCCGTCGCCGTCGCTACCGTCGAGCAAGGCATCGCCTCTGTCAAGTGCGATGACTCGGCTCGCACGGCCGGCGCTCTCCTGGCCGGCGCGCGAGACGCCTGCGCCGCCCTCGACTACGACCGGACGCGCCCTGCCGCAGCCTCCGCCGTAGCCGAGCGATCGGCCAGTGCCTCTGCCGCCAGTGCCATCGCCGTCGGCCGTACCGTCGAGCAAGGCATCGCCTCCGACAAGACCTTCGTCTTCGAGCGTGATGCCGCGCCTCGCACGGCCGGCGCCCCTCGGGCCAGCGCGCGAGACGCCTGCGCCGCCCTCAACTGCGACCGGACGTGCCCTGCCGCAGCCTCCGCCGTAGCCGAGCGATCGGCCAGCGCCTCTGCCGCCAGCGCCATCGCCGTCGGCCGTACCGTCGAGCAAGGCATCGCCTCCGTCAAGACCTTCGTCTTCGTGCGTGATGCCTCGCCTCGCACGGCCGGCGCTCTTCTCGCCAGTGCTCGAGACGCCTGCGCCAACCTCGACTCCGAGCGGACGTGCTCTGCCGCCTCCGCCGGAGCCGAGCTCTCGGCCAGCGCCTCTGCCACCAGCGCCGTCGCCGTCGGCTCTACCGTCGAGGACTCAAGTCTTGCCTTCGTCTTCGAGCGTGATGCCTCGCCTCGCACGGCCGGCGCTCATCTCGCCAGTGCTCGAGACGCCTGCGCCAACCTCGACTCCGAGCGGACGTGCTCTGCCGCCTCCGCCGGAGCCGAGCTCTCGGCCAGCGCCTCTGCCACCAGCGCCGTCGCCGTCGGCTCTACCGTCGAGGACTCAAGTCTCGCCTTCGTCTTCGAGCGTGATGCCTCGCCTCGCACGGCCGGCGCTCTTCTCGCCAGTGCTCGAGACGCCTGCGCCAACCTCGACTCCGAGCTCTGCCGCCTCCGCCGTAGCCGAGCGATCCGTCAACTACTCGAGCGATCCGTCAACTACTCCCCGCGCCTCGCCTCCGTCAAGGGCGACTCTCGAATGTCAACTACTCCCTCCTCGTGCCGCCTTCGGCCTTGCCCGCACAGGCGTCGCGATCTACGGTACATCCCCGACGCCTTCAGCATCGGTCCTGGGGGGGGCGTCTGAATTCGGACGCCTGTGCTACCCTTCACACACGCTACTAGCACGGCGCATCCCGCGCCGTGCCCCCAATGTCAATACTCGACTCTCGAGCTTCCTTGTGCTCAATCTTGTCACGGTCCTACGTCCCTTGCGAGCGTTTGCGTGAAGCAGTGCTTTGATCCTTTACAGTCCTACATAGAGCCAGCCACCCTCCGGCTCTGAGCCTCTGCGCTCAAACGACCACTCACTCACGAGTGGTCATGCAATGTTGGTCACCAATTTGACAAATTGGGTCCTCAATCGGTTTTAATTTGGTTTCATCATGGTTGACACTGGGTGGGTTCATTCTGAGTGTCAGGGGACCCCCAGATCGCGATTTTGCAATCTCCCGGGGAGATTTCTGCAAAACAATTTCTTGTGTGTGTGTCTCGCGCCTTGCGGGGGGGGAGCGGAAAGGAGGAACCTCTTCCCAAGAGCACCACTCTTGGAGCGCCGCCACTACCAGTCTACCACCCAGAGCGCTGCAAGCAGCGCCGGGCAATGACGGCTTACCGCCCACCCAGCCCCCCCTCGGCACACCCCGGCAGCCAATGTGTGACGGGTCGAACCCGCTAAGCCATCCCGCAAGCGGGATAGCCCGCCACTCGAACCCGCAAGCGGGCGTACGAACCGCGAGCGGCTCGCACTCGTGACACGCAGGCGTCCGCCAGACGGCGCCGGGGCTAGGCGACCGAAGAGGAACTACGGCAAGTGTGTGTGTGTGAGTACACACACACACACTACGGCAAGAACCGCACACCACCCCCTGACGAGCGCTCGCGGAACTGGTCCGCGGCGCCCGCCATTCTTCTTCGCGCGATGTCCACCCCGCCGCGCCGCCGCTCGCGCCGCCTCGCCACCGCCGCCGCCGCCGCGCCCTCGCCAGACGCGCCGCCGCCCGCCCGGCTCCTCGACCTCCCCAGGGAGCTCCTCGAGCGCGTCCTCTCTCGCTGCGACAGCCCCGTCGACATCGCTCGTCGCGGCCGTCTCGCTGCTCTTTCACGCCTCACTCGCGAAGCAAGGCATCCGCTTGTGGGCGCAAGAGCGCGGCTACGAGCTGCCGGCGCAGCCCGAAGACGAGAACTGCGCCGTGCGGTGGCTGTGCTATTCGGCGCTGCTGCGCGAGTCCAACCCGCCGGCGAGGGCGGCAGCAGGCATATCGCACAGCCTTTTCATCGACGGCGAGGGGCGGCTGTCGTCGTGCGGCTCTTCGCCGGACTACAATCCAATCCCCGGGCTGCTTGGCCACGGCGAGGGCGTGACGCAGCTCAACACGCCGACCCGCCTCCCGTCGACGCTGGGTGACGAGCGCGCCGTGAGCGTGTCAGCTGGAAATGGCCACAGCGTCGCCCTCACCGCCGGCGGTGCCGTCTGGAGCTGGGGCGATGGAGACGTGGGCGCGCTGGGCCACGGCGACGAGCAGAACCAGCTGCTGCCGGCGAAGGTCGAGGCCTTTGCAGGCCAGCGCGTCGTCGCTGTGTCGGCTGGAGGGGCTCACAACCTCGCCATCACCACCGATGGCGCCGTCTGGAGCTGGGGCGGTGGACTCTTTGGCGAGCTCGGCCACGGCGACCGGCAGCACCAGCTGCTGCCCAAGAAGATCGAGGCCTTGGCGGGGCGGCGCGTCGTCGCTGTCTCGGCTGGAGGGGCTCACAGCCTCGCCCTCACCACCGATGGCGCCGTCTGGAGCTGGGGCGATGGGAGGGATGGCAAGCTGGGCCACGGCGACGAGCAGCGCCAGCTGCTGCCCAAGAAGGTCGAGGCCTTGGCGGGCCAGCGCGTCGTCGCTGTGTCGGCGGGAAGCGGCCACAGCTTCGCCCTCACTGCCGACGGCGCCGCCTGGAGCTGGCCTGGGGTAGGGGCGAACGCGGCTGTCTAGGCCACGGAGAGGACCTGTCGAACCAGCTGCTGCCCAAGAAGATCGAGGCGTGGGCGCCGGGGCTGTGAGAAGGGCGTACCTCAGCTTCTCTGATTGAACTTGTAGGCAAAAAATCTCTCAAAAAGAATTCTCTATGCGACGGTGTATCATTCACTTTCGATGCCACCGTCGTTGCATACTTTATCCGGATATGCAACGGTGGCATAAAGTGAATCTGAATGATACACCGTCGCAAAACTGCATTCCTGGGTCGTGCGGAGATGCATCCGGTTTGGGTACCGGCGGATAGCAGGTGAACGCTCTAAGGTGGGTTTCGAACCAGTGACAACGCCCGTCTGGGTTTTTTGCGAGTCGAACTGCGGGATTCGAACTCTCGAGACCCAATGCAGTTGTGCGACGGTGGCATAAAGTGAATGATACACCGTCGCACTCTAAAATTGAAAAGAAGGCGCACCGACCTCCTCCCCCTTGTCTAGAGGGTACCCAGCCTCCGGGCCGGTGACGGTGAGTGAGTATTCTTGATACGAAACCACGACGACACACACCAGTCGACTCGCATCGGTTGCCTCCATGAACGGCGGAGCTATTCTCGCGCCCACACCACACCTGGCTCCAACGTGGACACGCCCATAGCTGGGGACACTACTAGGTCACGCATGGCATCACAGAAGTTTTATCTCTGGGCCCCGAAAGGCATCTCTAGCAGTGTCGTTACACATGCCCCCTCCCCTCCTGGGCGCATGCGCCTCACGTCTCGCCAGAGCATAAGCCCTTGGCGTGTGGCGAGACGAGTTTTTCGCCATCGCCGCGAGCAGCAAGCCGCCCGCCGCAAACAGCCGGAGGCCTCGCCGCGGCACTCCCCCTCGCCTTCCCTGCCGCCCTCCTGGCCCAGGCCCATCAGTAGCAGGCCCAAGCTGTCCCAGACCGCACTTATATCGGGCCTTCAAGCTCACACCGGCTCGTGATGCCACGAAGAGGCCTCGAGACTGTCCCGGTGGACCCCTTGCCGAGCGATTGTGAGGGCTTTCCGGAGGTCGTTATCGGCGCCATCGACCGTGATATGTCTCGTCCCGCTGCCCTCATGCACCAGGGCAATGGGTGCAGTCATAATATGTAGGCCTTGTCTCCCGAAGTTTTGAGCAATAGCCGCAAACAACGCTTTTTGGCACGTGCCTCGCGACAAGGTCACACGCGGACTCCCCAGAATGTCAGCTCACCACCTCGCCTTCCCTGCCGCTATCCTGGCCCAGGCCCATCAGTAGCAGGCCCGAGCTGTCCCGAGCCGCGCTTATATCGGGTCCCCAAGCTCACACCGGCGCATAACACCCCACACGAGGCTATTTCACGCCTGTTTTACCCTCAGGCAGCGCCGGCAACGGACTCCTACTTCACACATGATCAAGCACAGCCCCACCAAAGCACAGCCCTGCTCAGAGTGGCCATGGACCACCACTTGACGACCCAGGCAGCCTCTGGCTCGCCACTTCACTCGGCTCTATTCCAGCCGTCTCGGGCCCGCCCCCAGCAGCACGCCGTCTGTGAGATCCAGCAGCGGCCTGATCGACCTGTTGAGTCCGCAGCCGATGCACTCATGCAGCTTGATGCATGCCTCAACTAAGATGCCGACCAGCTTGGTTGTGGCGGCCGAAGAGCGGTGCTGGCCGCCGCCTCTCGACGGGGTCAGTGTGGCGCGTTCGAAATGCAGCCGCGCCGCCTCACCCGCGGCGCCTCTCGGCCGGTGACCGACGCCGGCAGATGCCCACACAGCCCGGGGAACGGGCCGCGCCGATTGCGGCGCCTCTTCCTGCAAAGCTGGAGCACTGAGCGCGAGCGCGCATAGGCCCTCGCGGAGGGGCCCTTTTTGTCGAACCTGCGCCCGGGCCCTCCCCGAGATCCAATTGGCTTTCTTTTCGCGGGCAAGGACGTCAACCTAGCGGAGGCGGGCGGGAGCCAAAACGCGCGGCTGGGCACAGCCCGATGTCGGTGACGCCCCACCAGGTGCGCCAACTCATCGAGGGGTTGGAGGCCTCGCAGGGCGGGCTACTTCGCTCTCACGCGGCCGATGAACTCGCAGCGCTCAAGAAAGAGCTCAGGGCCGATGTGCCGCCAGCGACCTACGGCAACGTGCGGCAGCGCCTGCTTGACATGATCAACAACGTGCCCGATGGGGGGGCGCGCGCCGACCTCTACGACAAGCTGACGGCGGACCGGGGGCTCGAAGCCAGCTTCACCCCGCCCCTCGCGGCGGACTTGCCCATCGTGAAGCCGAAGGTGGTGCGGCGCCCCGCCGGGAGCGCGCCCCCACCCGCCAAGTACGCCATCCAGGCCAGTCAGCAGCTCGAGCTCGACGTCACGGGGCTTTACATCACGGACACGGTGAAGTCCGACATCGAGGTCTCCCTCGAGCTCCCTCTCCCCGACACGCTGGACGTGAAGGTCGAGAGCGTGGACGGCCCCGACATCCGCATTAAGTACCTGCACGAGCCGTGGGCGTCGCTCGCTCAGCAGCAAAAGCTTCCCTACTCGGTCGAGGGTGGCGTCCTCGTCGCAGAGCCCCCGCCCTCTCCGGAGGGTTTCGCCTCTCGGCTGCAGGAGGGCGACTTGGCGCACGTGCGGCTCCGGGAGGGCTGGTACTGCGCCAAGGTGCAGGGAGCGGCGGGGGCGGGCGGCTCTATCACGGTGACGCTGGCCACCTCCATTACGGGGCCGCCCGAACAGCGCACCTTCCGCTTCGCATTGCCAGAGCGCATCGTGCGCGACCTTGCTGCTCAAGACGTGCGGCCGATTTGGGTGCACCCCAAGTCAATCCGGAAAGCTTGGGACGAAGGCGCGGCGTTCAAGGGCACAAAGGTGCCTTGGGAGATCGCCCACGTCAAGTCTGCCACGGCCAAGCCACGCGGCGGCCCGCCCAGCGGGGTGCTTTACTTCGACCCCTTCACGGAGGAATTCGTGACCGGCACGCTGTCGCCGGCCCTCCGCGGGGGGGGAGGCACGGCAGGCGGCGGCGGCGGCGGCGGCGGCGGCGGCGGCGGCGGCGGCGGCGGCGGCGGGAGCAGCAGCGGGGACTGGCGGACGAAGGGACCTCACATCGGCAAGCTGCTGCTGCGGCGCTTCGACGGCGTGGACCGCGACGTCCACGCCGTGGTTTGGAAGTATATGCCGCCTGGGGAGGCGAGACGTCTGCGCCGCGCCATAAACATGCGGGAACCATGTCCCTCATCGCTTTCATGTCACACGCTAGGCGGCGGACGAACCCGCGCTGTGGAGAATCGAGCACGACGATGGCGAGCACGAGGACCTCGAGGAGCACGAGCTGAAGGAGGGGATCCAGCTGCTCGCGAGCCGCGGCGGCGGCGGCGGCGGCGGCGGCGGCGGCGGCGGCGGCGGCGGCGGCGGCGGCGGCGGCGGCGGCGGCGGCAGCAGCGCTGACCGCCTCGTCCTCTGCGAGCGCTCGCCCATCTTTGCGCCGGGGGCCTCGTCCGCAGCGCGCTGCGGGTGGGGCTTGCCATCGGTACAGTCGCTACTACGACTCGTCAAGTCGAAAGAGTGGCATTCTGTGCACAAGACCGCTGAGCAGAAGGAGGTTGCGATCGGCAATTGCGCCAACGGCATCGGCGTGGGTCGCATCAATTCGCTTCTCGAGGTGTACACGCTGCCTGAGGAAGAGGGCCCGCCGCGGCCGCCGCCGGCCCGGGCGAGCCCAGAGCCAGCCTCTCCGCCACCGGAGGGGCAGCAGCCGCCCATTGCCGGGTCCAGCGGTTGCACATCCCAGTGCGAGCACAACCCTTTGTGCACGCGCGGCTACAAGCACGGCGGCCTCGGCGGCCGCTGCAGCGTGCCGAAGCGGCCCCCAGCGCAGGCGACGGCGACGGAGCAGGCAGAGCGCGCAAAGCGACAGAAGCTGGAGGTGGCGGCGGCGGAGCGGGCGGTGGCGGAGCGGGCGGCGGCGGGGCAGGCGGCGGCAGAGCAGGCGCTGCTCAGCAGAGCCCCCCGGCGGCTCGTCCTCTCGGGCTTGCTGGCGCACCAGAGGTCGTGCCTCGGCGCGTACTCGCTCGTCGAGGGGCGGCTGCTGCACGGGCGGCCGGTCTGGAAGCACACGGCCGCTGACCGCTGGATCGCAACCATCCCGGGCGGCAGCTGGGTGGTGCAGCAGAGCAAGAACGTGGGAGTGAACCACATTGGCTACCTGAAGCTGCGCGACTCCTCCTCCGCGCTCCCGCACGAGTCGAGCGTGGTCTGGGAAGAGTGTAGCGGCGCTGGCGGCTGGGTCGGCGCTCCGTCGCTCGAGTGCGCCGACCAGGCGGCTGCGGCGCGGGAGGAGGCGCGGGAGGAGGCGCCGCAGGAGGCGCCGCAGGAGGCGCCGCAGGAGGCGGCGCAGGCGCGGGAGGAGCCGCAAGAGGCGGCGCTGCAGACGGCGCGGGAGGAGGCGGCGCGGGCGCAAGAGACGGCGCTGCAGACGGCGCGGGAGGAGGCGGCGCGGGCGCAAGAGGCGGCGCTGCAGACGGCGCGGGAGGAGGCGGCGCGGGCGCAAGAGGCGGCGCTGCAGACGGCGCGGGAGGAGGCGGCGCGGGCGCAAGAGACGGCGCTGCAGACGGCGCGGGAGGAGGCGGCGCGGGCGCAAGAGACGGCGCTGCAGACGGCGCGGGAGGAGGCGGCGCGGGCGCAAGAGACGGCGCTGCAGACGGCGCGGGAGGAGGCGGCGCGGGCGCAAGAGGCGGCGCTGCAGACGGCGCGGGAGGAGGCGGCGCGGGCGCAAGAGGCGGCGCTGCAGACGGCGCGGGAGGAGGCGGCGCGGGCGCAAGAGGCGGCGCTGCAGACGGCGCGGGAGGAGGCGGCGCGGGCGCAAGAGACGGCGCTGCAGACGGCGCGGGAGGAGGCGGCGCGGGCGGAGCAGCAGCTTGCAGCGGCGGAGGAGGAGGCGGCGCGGGCGCAAGAGACGGCGCTGCAGACGGCGCGGGAGGAGGCGGCGCGGGCGGAGCAGCAGCTTGCAGCGGCGGAGGAGGAGGTGAGTAACTTTCGGTCGCAGCTAGTCGAGGCTCGCTCGCAGGTGGAGGCTGCGGGCCCGCGCGAGAACTCTCTCCGGGCTGAGGCGCACCGGGCGGCGGAGCAGCGCGACACGGAGGCGGCGGCGCGGCGCGTGGCGGAAGAGGCGCTCGCCCTGTAGGGAGGGCGGCTAGCGCGGGCGGCCTCTCACGCGGTCCCTCATGAGCAGGCGCGCGGCAAGGCGGAGGGGGCTGCGACGGCGGCGCGTGAGTCGGAGCAGCGAGCCGCCGGTGCGCATGCGCCCGAGGTTGCGGCGGCGCGGGAGGAGGAGGTTGCGCGGGCGGCGGCGGCGCAGGAGGCGGCCGTGCGGACGGCGCGGGAGGAGGAGGCTGCGCGGGCGGCGGCGGCGCAGGAGGAAGCCGTGCGGACGGCGCGGGAGGAGGAGGTTGCGCGGGCGGCGGCGGCGCAGGAGGCGGCCGTGCGGACGGCGCGGGAGGACGCGGGGCGGGCGGCGCGTGAGCAGCTGCGCGCGCACTCGGCAGTGGCATTGACGCCGATCGCGCGGCTCATTTCGGACCGCTCGAAGTTCACGCCATCGCTCGATGCCACGTACAGCACTCTCGAGCTCTACAACGCCGCGTGGCCTGACAACACGCCGCCCGCTCAGCGGCACTTTCGTGACCATTTGCTTGACCTCTTCTGCAAGAGCGGTTACGGCCAGCTCGCGACGGCGCGGAGCGACCGCTCTGTCCATGTCCCGCAGGCCCGCAACTCGTTTGCGAGCCAGCTGAGCCGCATTGTGCTGGTTCGCAACCCGCTTCTCGAGATGGCGTTCACGGCCGGCTTGAATCTCACCGAGCGGCAGCGAACGACGGGCACCGCCCCTGGCATGCACAATCCGGCGAACCCGGACGAGTTCGAGGGGGAGAAGGAGGCGGCGCGCTCGGTGCTCAAGAGCAAGATGATGTACGGCGAGCTGGTGGGCTTCGAGAAGGCGAGCATCATCCCCACCTTCCACGGCTGCTCGCACGAGGCGGCGGCCGCCATCTGCGGCTCGGGCATGAAGAACGGTGTCAACGCCGTCCAGAACGGCATGTTTTTCGGTGCGGGGCTCTACACCACGCCCACCGCCGAGTACGGGTGCCTCTACGCTCGGACGATGGCCGACGGTGGGGTCGTGTCGGAGGAGAGCCCGCGGCCGGCCAACTCCAAGGGCGAGCACGTCGTGCTGATGCAGCTGGCCAACATCGGCCGCGCGTACGTGGGCACGCGCCACCGCGACTACCCGCAGCACGGCGCCGTCATCAGCGAGCGGAACCCGGACCATCGCTCTTTTCTCCACAGCGATTGCCACCTGCAGCGCGCGGCGGCGGTCGATCAGGGTGTTCTCCCCGAGAACTACTTCGAGAACGTCACAGCCGGGTATGACAGCCGGTACTTCATCTGCAACGAAGTCGTCGGCTACCAGGCGGTCAACCTGCTGGGCCCCACCGGCAAGCGCACCGACCCGACGCTGCCGGCCGCCTACGACGAGCTGATCCTCAAGGAGAGCAACCAGCTCTGCCCGGTGGCCCTCTTCTACATCAAGAGCCCTCCCGCTGGCGCCGCCGCCGGCCCGTCCTCATGAGGTTGTTTAGGCGGGGAGATCCTCGCCGCGGCCACTAGCGGTCGTCTGATGTGTCACTGTGTGCGTCACATATCGGTCTTGATAACAAGCACGGTCGATCCGTCGAAGCGATACACTCGTTCCTATCACATATTCTCCCACCCGCCGGGACGCAAAACGCTCTCGGCGAGAGCCACAAGAAGGCGTCCACACAGCAAGCCACTCGTCGGACAGACGTGCTCGCTCGATGTCGGCGAGCGCATTGTGCGCACGCTTTGGACGGTGGCGAAGCCAAAAACACCGATGGTGGCCGTCCGGCTCTCGGCCAGAACGAACGGGCTGCGCATCGTTGGGGGGGTGAGTGAGAGGGAGGTGGTCGTGCGCTCACTTCGGCGGTCGCGCGCGAGGTGATCACTGTGTGTGAGGCGAAAGGTGCGGCAGCGAGGCGCACCAGGAGCGGAGCAGGCAAGGAAAGAAAAAATCGATCGAGCCCCCTGAAAAAAGAATTTAAGGAAGAAAGAAAGAAATAAACAGCCAACCAAGGCAGGGCGCTTGGAGCACTTGGAGTGCGGTCATCAACCTCACGTGCAGGACCGGGGAGCTGAAAGAAAGAAAGAAAGAAAACACACAACCCAAGGGAGGGATGGGAGAATCTTACAACAAAACTCCGTCGCACAACACTGGGCACGGGACTGGCGCGATGGGAGAACTAAGAAGCGCTGCGGCCATTTTTTTAATTTTTCGGCTGTGCGCGCCGGTGCCTCCCGAGCAGAGGCGCGCCCCGTGTAGGCGAGCGGGGCGCCCTGTGTATTGCACATGAACGGATCCCTAGCTGTGAACAAGCACAACCTCCTCGAGGCGCTGCGCGGCGCGCTCTCGGCCGACGCGGCTGTGCGCGTGCCGTACGAGGCGGCGCTTGCAGCATGGGAGGCGGCGCCGGGCTACGCGACGGCGCTGCTCAGCGTGTACGAGAGTCCTCCTGCGGGATGCGGCGGCGCGGAGCGGCTGCTCGCAGTGCTCTGCCTCAAGGCGGCGGTCGGCCGCCGCTGGAACGAGCGCCGGTCCGGAGAACCCGCCATCTCGGACGCCGAGAAGGCGGAGGTTCGAGCCCGGCTGCTGCCCGCCACCGACGAGCGCGAGCCCGCGCTGGCGTCGCAGCTTGTGCTGACGGCCGCTACCATCGCCCGGCTGGAGGGCCTCGCCGCCTGGCCCGCGCTGCTCCCCGCCCTCACCGCCTCGTGCACTCGGCCGGCGCCGCTCGACGCGGCGCGAGGGCTGTCTGCCCTGTACCGCGTGGTCAAGCTGCAGGCGTCGCGCCGGCTGCTCGCGCACCGCAAGGCCTTCTTCGCGCTGTCGGAGCAGCTGCACGCCCCGCTGGCCAGCCTGCGCACATCGCATGCCCGCGCGCTGCTCGGACGCGTCCAGCCACTGCTCGGCGGTCCAGCAGACCAGCCGATCGCGGGCAGCGGCGCCGGCGGAGAGGCGTGCGCGCTGCTCGCCATCAAGACGGAGCGGCAGCTGCTGCTGCATGGGTACGCGCGCGCGCACGCATCGCAGGCTCGTGGATGCAACCGAGATGCCAGATGCCTGCGAGAGACGGTGGCATGGCCATCCATTTGTGATGAGTTTGTCTCAATCGTCCACAAGGCGGCCCTCGCCTCTGTCCGTGATTTCGTGGAGCTCGCCGCCGCCGCCTCCTCCGCCGAGCTTGCGTTGCGCCGCGCTCTTGATGCGTGTCCGCTGGCGCCGACCGCCGGCGCCGCTGCCGCCACGGCGGATGCGTTGCTCACGGCGGACGCGCTGCTCAAAGTTGCCCTGGTCGCCGCAAAGTCACTAGTGGAGGTGCAGGAGGTGCGATTCTCTCCCCCTCTCTCCCCATGCCTCCCCCTCTCTCGCTGGTCGAGGTCCAGGAGGAGCCACCCCCCTCGCCCTCGCCCCGTGCGTCGCCCGTGACATGTCCCCGACCCGCGCGACGTTTCCCCGACGCGCCCACGACACGTCCGGGACATGTCCATGTCCATGTCCATGTCCATGTCCATGTCCATGTCCATGTCCATGTCCATGGCCATGTCCCCGCAGGTGCAGCCACTCGCCCTCGCCTCGTGCGTCGGGCGCGCGCTCGCCGTAGCCGCCTCGGAGCTAGGCTCGCGCCCTTTCTCCGCCGGGTCCGCCGACGGCTCCGAGAAGCTCCTCGTCCGGCTCACCACCCTCCTCCGCAACGTCGTCTGCTGCGCTAGCTACGCTGCGGCGGCGCCGGGCGCGCACAGGCCACACGGCCGCCCGCCGGCGCCGGAGGCCGTGGCGTGCGAGGCGGCGAGACCGCTCCCTCCGTGAGGGGGAAGAAGAAGTGCGTCGCCAGCAGTGCACTCGTTCTTAGGTGGCCGTCCGCTCGTTCGTCCTCTCGTCCGGCCTCGCGTCGGTCGTCCACTCGCTAGTGACGCGCGCGCTTCCGCTCGGCGAGGCGGGAGATAGCCGAGAGGCAGCCGAGAGGCAGCCGAGAGGCAGCCGAGAGGGCGCCGAGAGGCAGCCGAGAGGCAGCCGCGAGGGCGCCGCGAGGGCGCCGAGAGGCAGCCGAGAGGGCGTCGAGAGGGCGCTGAGAGGGCGCCGAGAGGCAGCCGAGAGGGAGCCGAGGTGCAAGCGAGGTGGCCGAGAGTAGGCGGAGCTGCTCGAGTACGCGGACGACCCGGAGGCGTCGGCGGTGTGAGAGGCGATGTGGCACTAACTCTTTATGTGACGTGTCATCGTTCGCTCCAAGGCGTGGGTGTGGGAGGAGGCGGCCTCGAGGGAGGGGGCGAGTCTGCGCCGCTGCGCCGAGCGGTGCGTCTCTTCGCTCGCCGAGCAAGCCGCAGCTCGCGCGGCGGTGCAAGCGGTGCAACCAAGGCCACTTGTGGTGCAGCATCAGCTGACGTCAATCTGACACAACAGGTGGAAGACTGCGGGTGCAACCAAGGCCAGTTGTGGTGCAGCATCAGCTCTGACGTCAATCTGACACAACAGGTGCAAGACTGCGGTGCAACCAAGGCCACTTGTGGTGTAGCATCAGTTCTGACGTCAATCTGACACAACAGGTGCAAGGCTGCGGTGCAACCAAGGCCACTTGTGGTGCAGCATCAGCTCTGACGTCAATCTGACACAACAGGTGCGATACTGCGGTGCACCAAGGCCAGCATCAGTTCTGATCCTTCATGTCACAACAGGTGCAAGCCGCGGTGCACGCCGCGGCCAACGAGGCTGCTGCTGCGGGGCTGGCAAGTTGCGAGGCGGTGCTACGGCTGGACGGCTGCTACGCCGCCCTCGCGATGGTGCACCCATCCCCTACCCCCACGGTACCCGAACCCACCATCCCCTACGGTCAATCTCGGTCAATCTCAGGTTCACGGGCCGGCCGAGGCGGACTCACTCTGCGCCGTCGTCAGCGCTCTGCAGACGCACTGCTCCGCTGCGCCGCCAGACAGTGCCCACTTGCTGCGCCGCCGCGCCGCGTCGCTGCTGGGGCACTCCCTCTCTGCTCCGGAGCTGGTCAAGAGAGCGGCGCACGAGCAGGCAGCCGAGGGGCGCTCCCTGAGCCCTCCACATGCGCACTCCTTAGGTCCGGACATCCGCGCACGAGCAGGCCTCCATCGAGGGCTGGTACACGCTTCTGGGCATGCTGCTGCAGGACCCGCATCCCGGCGTCTCCCTCACCGCCGCCATCGCGATACGCAGACTCATCGAGGCGTCCGACGCCCGCCCGGCGCACGCCTCCCCTCCGGACCAGCCACTCCTACGTCCTCGCCACCTTTGAATCAGGCCTCCGACGCCGTGCCGCGCACGCCGCCGCTCGACGAGAGTTGCGCGCCGGCGGCGCCGCCTCTCCGCCGTCTCGCGCGAGTGACTCTGGTGCCGAGATGACCCGAGATCACCCGAGATCACCCGAGATCACCCGAGATCACCCGAGATCACCCGAGATCACCCGAGATCACCCGAGATCACCCGAGATCACCCGAGATCACCCGAGATCACCCAAGCTGCTCCTCGCCCGACGCTCTCTCAGCCCTGGCCTTAAGCTTCGGCTCTTCCGCCCCTGCTCTGAGTGGCTGGAAGCGTCTCGGAGCCGTCCCGGAAGGTGCTCTCATGCCCCGCCATCTCTCGCCATCTCCCGTCCCTGCAGGTGCCCGTGCTTCGCCTCGCCCTGAGCGCGCGCGAGGTGCGAGTCTCGCGCGAGCCTGCTCGCTCTCGGAGAGATCGGCGCGAGATCACGTCGAGATCGGTCGAGAGTAGGTCCAGTCCCGATGGAGGCTGATCGCCCTCGCCGCGCGGCTCATCTCCCGCGCCTCGCCGCCCCGCGCGGCCGAAGCGGCCGACGAGGACGACTCCGCCTGCGCCGACCGGGCGGCGGCGGTGGCGGGGTGGCTGCGCGCCGCTTGGTCTGCCTCGGACGGGCAGCAGCTGCTGCAGGAGGCGGTGCTCGATTGCGCGGCGGCGGCGCTGCATGCAATCAGCCCCGCGCAGCAGGCCTCGTCGCGACACAGCCCGCGCGCCCTCCCCGCCACCGCCGCGGCAGGCGGCGGCGGCGGCAGCGGCGGCGGCGGCGGCAGCGGCGGCGGCGGCGGCGGCGGCGGCGGCGGCGGCGACGCGCTGCGGCGCGCTGCCCTCGAGCTGGTCGGAGTTGCGACGGCGGCGGATCCTTCGGGAGCGCCGGTGGCGGTTGGCTTGATTGAGGCGGCGGTGGCGGTCTGGCGCGAGGCGCTCGCCTCACTGCCCGTTGGCGGAGGAGGGGGCGGAGGAGGAGGGGGGGGGGGAGGAGGCCGAAGAGGCGGAGGCGGGGGAGGAGGCGGGGGAGGAGGCGGGGGAGGAGGCGACGCGGGTCTGGCCGAGGCGCTGCTGGTCCTCGCCGACCGAGAGGCGGTCTTGAGCTCGCTCGAGATACGCCCGAGATTGGCCGAGATTAGGCGCTGCTGTGCCTCGCGGCGCGGATGCCGGCGCTGCTCGATGTGGGGAGCGACTTGTGCCGCCCGCTGATGCAGCTGCTCGACTGGTACTTGCTGCACGACGCGGCGGGGCTGACTCTGCGGCCGGCTGCTCGGCCAGACGGGACACGACCGTGACACGTCCCGTGATGACACGCTTGCAGGCGGGACTGCTCTGCGGCCGGCTGCTCGCTCCTCGGGCGGGGATGCTCTCCGCGCTGCTCGAGGAGGCGAGCAGCTCTGCGACTCGGCCCGTTTCTGTCCTCGTCGGAGTTCTCGTTTCACTCGTGCTTCTTCTGTTTCGCACGACACAGGGCACGGGACTGGCGCGCACCGGCACGGACACGGGAAAGTCTTCTTTTCTAGGCGGTGCGTAGCTCGTGCGCCGACCGGAGAGGCACGATCGCCGTCGCCGGCGCGATGCACTCGCTGCTCGTGCTCGCCCCGGCGCACGCACCGCTGCTGGAGCGGCCGCTGGCGCTGGTGGCGCAGGCGGTGCTGCAGGGGCCGTGCGAGGGGCAGGGGGAAGGGTACTCCGAGCTCTCGCTCGCCACGTTCGGAGGCGTGGCCGGCCGGGCGCTCCTCGTCGCGCCGTCCACCTTCGAGGCGCGAATAGCGGCAGCTACACACACACAACTCTTCTCAGTCTCGACGACGTGCGTCGCACTGTTGATTGCGACGACGCCCGCTGCAACTGTGATTGCTCTGTCCGAGGCGGCGCTCTCGTCGGCCGCTTCCGCACTCGGCCTCGCAGAGCCGCTGCCGGCCTTTTGCTTTGCGTGGCTCGCCGTATGCGACGGGATGCTGCTTTCGTCGCAGCGGCGGCTCGCCGCGCTCGCGCTCGCTGCGCTGTTGCCCCTCGACCCAAAGGCGTGCGCTGCCTCGATCTCCGCTCCTCTCGGCTCCTCTCGGCTCCTCTCGGCTCCTCTCGGCTCCTCTCGGCTCCTCTCGGCTCCTCTCGGCTCCTCTCGGCTCCTCTCGGCTCCTCTCGGCTCCTCTCGGCTCCTCTCGGCTCCTCTCGGCTGCCTCTCGGCTCCTCTCGGCTCCTCTCGGCTCCTCTCGGCTCATCTCGGCTCCTCTCGGTGCATCTCGATCTCGACGCAAAGGCGCTCGGCTGCCTCGAGGAGGTCCTCTCCCTCTGCGTCTCCGCCCTTGCCGACGAAGAGCAGCCGCCTCCCTCGCCGGCTCGGTCGCCGCCGCCCGAGGCGGTTCGAGCCGCCTTCTCGCACGCGCTCGAGCCCTTCGACTCGCTCGCGGCGATGCCGCTCCGGCCGGCGTTGCAGCGCAGCCTCGGCGTGGCGCAGGAGGCGCACGGTGCAGCCTTTGGCGCGGCGATCGCACGGGTGGACCCCGCGCTGCTAGAGCAGGTGCGCGCCGCGTTTGGCACGGTTTGATTTTTGCGTGTACCGGGCAAGGTCAGGTCAACTTCTCCGGTGCCACACAAGGTGTAAGTGGGCACGCTCGGGACTGGAGCGCGCTGGCACTCTCGGCAAAAGAAGTAACAAAGAGACGTCTTTCACGACACGCTCCCGGCACCAACTTGATTCGTAGATCGGCGTCTCACGGCCCCGGGCCGCGGGACGGGGAGGGAGGGGGGTCGATCCGTAAATCCGTAAATCCGTAAATTTGTGACCAAAAGCCACCAGGAGTCCCCCACCACACCCATCCACCAGGCAGATAGAGACACAGCGCTCGCGACACGCTGAGAAGCCGGAGGCTGGCCTCTCCAACGCTCGCGCACAACGCTGTGCTCTGCACGCGCAGCAGAGGCCAACAGCTCTGGGGTCCGGGCGGCCCAGGCTCACAGTGGGAGGGTCAACGACCGTACGACTGTAACGCTACGTATATCTCTTAACAATCACTATATTCGTGCTTGCCGAGCTGCGCCTCTGCGAGTGCGACTATCAACCCCTCACGCGTGTGCATAATCCCCTCCATCTTGTTGTGCAGCGCCTTGACCTCTCCGCCACGCTGCGGCATCAGCGCGCCTCGCCTCTGCCTCCATCGAAATCTGCAGCGCGTCGAGCTGCTCGCGCAGCTCAGCCTGCATCTTGGCACGCATCTCGCCGATACGCCACTCAAAATCAGCTCGAGCTGCGTGTTTTACCTCGTCGGCCATCCGCTCGGCCGCTTTGATGTCGCGTTTAGCAGCCTGCTGCGCTGTCCTCAGGTTGTCGCGGTCGGAGCGCCTCAGCTCTTGTGCCGCAGCAAGCTCATCCCGCGCCGACGCGAGCGCCCTCTTCACAGCGCTCGCAGAGCGCTGCTCAGAAGCTCCTTAACCGTGACCGCAACTTCTCTTCCAACTCCTGCCGAAGCAGCATCTCAGCACTCGCGGCTGCATGGATGTCCGAGCCCCTTAGCGTGGTTTGCGTGTCTGTGCTGACGAGAGTGCGGGAGAAGCTGCCCTTGTGCTGCACAGAGATTACGCCAGCGGTAGCAGTGCTGCTTGGGGACACAACAACATTGCTCGTGGCTGAGCTGGCATAAGCCGCCGCACCAGCCTCTGCGGCTGCAGCGGTGCGGCTTCGGATCGCGTCGAGCACCGCGCCCGTATCGTGCAAGAGCAAAGCCTCGAACGTACTGAGGTCGGCTATCCCGAGTTCGTTGAGCAGACCCTCCAGCACAATGCTGAGATCGTCCGTGCCATGTGTCGCGTGTCCAACCAAGGGAACGGACGTCGCCGAAAGTCCTCAGTCACGCCGTGACCCGTGTATCGCCTGCCGCAAGCTGGGGCGCACGCTCCGAGGCGGCTGGAGCCGCTTCACGCTCAATTTGGGCGCTTTTTACGCGATTTTACGGAGTTACGGATTGAAGGGGGGTGGCGGTCCATAGGGGGAGGGGGAGACGCCGATCTACGAATCAAGTTGGTGCCGGCTCGACAGTAGACGTCGGCAAGAAAGAGCGAGACGCCTCGAGCGACCGAGACACAAGACGCAAAGCCCCACGAGCGCACAGGGCGCAACTATCGGCCCGCTAGGCCGAGCTCGCCGAGCACGGGCGCAAAGTCGTCGGCGAGCAGCAGCATCAGCTGCTCCTTGCTCTTCTTGCCGGGCAGCCCCACCAGGGGGGGGAGTAAGAGCTTGAGGCGGGGGAGCGCGCGGGGGGGGGGGGGGGGGGCTCAGATGGTCGAAGTCTGCATTCGTAGCAACTCGTAGACGTATTACACACACAAAGACTCATAGCAACTCGTAGACGTATTACACTCTCAGCGACTCATAACAACTCGTAGACGTACTACACACACGAAGACCGTGGTCCGCCCAGGCCACCAGGATCACCTCAGACAGCCTCCCCCGCTAACATGATACATGTGAAACATAAGCACGAGGACGAGGCGAGCTGGTCGACGCGGTCGTGGCTGTCGCTGCAGGCCCAGCGCATGTCAGTCGCGCTGCAGCTCGCGGCGGCGGAAGAGATTGCGACCGAGCTCAGGCTCGCCGTGGCGTCGGAGGACGCCACCGTCGCCTAGACTCCCCTGCGTCACTACGTGCCTCCCCGTCTTTGTAGCCTGGCGTTTGTGGATTGTGCCCCGTTTGTGCCGCGTCCCGTGCCCCCGAGTTCATTTAAAAAAAAACATAAGGATACTTAGCCAAAAAAGATACGGGGAAGGACCCTCAGTTGACCAGGGGTTGTGCGCCGGGCCCTCCTGCTCGGCGCCAGCGAGTTGTTGCCCAACCAACCCCCTCTCCAACAACGACGACAACTTCCCGCTCGCGGTTTTTTCTGAATGGGACCGCCAAATCAAAACGAAAAGCTTCTTGGGGAGTCTCCCGAGTGGTTGTCGTTGTTCTCCTCCTCCCCCGGGGGAGCCCGATCGAGGGGGCGAGAGGTCGGGTGCACACACGGACGGAGGACGAAGGTGCTTTGTTTAACGGGACGGGAGACGACGGGGAGGCGATGCTGAAGAGGGGGGGAGATCGTCACTTCAGCCCGGCAATCATGTCCGCGGCCTCCTGGACGGTGTTGATCTCCTCCGTGCCCTCCTCGTCGAGGGTGATTGTGAACTGCTCCTCGAGCGCCATCATGATCTCCACGGTGTCGAGCGAGTCGAGGCCGAGGTCAACGAACTTGGCGTCGGCGGCGACCTTGTCGAGGTCCACGCCCAGCTGCTCGGAGATGATTTCGCGGACCTTGTCGAGCGTTTCCGAGTCCTGCGCGCGGGCGCGGGGGCGTGACGGCATGTCGCGGTGCGGGCACCCGGCGAGTGCGGCGGGCGTGCGGCGTCAGTCGGGCCGCCGCGCGTCCGCTCGGCGCGGCGCACCCGCGCGCAGGAGCGCGCACGGGGACGGGGAGCGCGGCGCCGCTGCAGGTTTTATACGTACCGCGGCCTTCTCTTGCGCAGGGACAGGATGAAACACCTGGGAGAACCGGCAACTGTTTGCAAATGGCACCCTTACACAATATTGAGGCGAGATGGGGACGGGGGCCGCCGGTTGGGCTTGAGGGCGCGCCTTCTCCAACAGCACCACGCCGTTCTCGGCGGGCAGAGCAAGTTTGATGGCATTGACTGTCGACGCCACCGAAGCGTCGGAGCTGAAGGCGAGAGTGCCAGTTGCTCCTCCGATGACGAGGCCCACTCCGGTCAGCGCAGCGACGACGCCAAGCTTCTTGCGGGTGGGCGAGCTGCTCTTTGCAGGCTGCGCGCCCTGCTCTGAAATTGGCACGACAATGCTCATAACTGACCCCCCGACGGGCGACCGCGACCGCAGTTCCCTCCGTCCAGCTACGTGGGGGACAGACTAGGGATCCCTATAGTCGAGCGCACGTAAAAGTCGCCTGGAATTCCCTATGGGGACCACTCTGGTCGATCAGCTGCTTCACTGGAGCTCCACGGCGCCCGATTCCGTCGCATTTCGCTGGCTGCGTGATGACGGGAGTGAGGAGGCCATCTTGAGCTTCGCTGCACTTGAAACTCAGACGTCTATTGTCTCATCACGCCTCATGAACGAATGGCTAGTCGGCAAGGGCGAGCGGGCACTCCTGGTCTACTTGCCGGGTCTAGCGTTCATATCCGCCTTTCTGGGCTGTCTCCGTGCCGGCGTGGTCGCAGTACCCATATACCCGCCAGATCCGGCACATCCCGAAAAAGGCCTTGACAAGATGGATGCACACGCACGCTGCGCCAAGCCAGCAGTTGCACTAACCGAGAAAAGGCTGTCCGCCGCGCTGCGCGGAGCTTGGGTTCAGCACCAGACTGACGTGCCTTCCACGCAGCAGCCCTTTGCGTGGTACGAGACCGATGACGCGAGCGATGACGCAGTTCGATCGTTATTTTGCGGACCTCTGCTCATTGACGAGGAAGCCCTGGCATTCATTCAGTTCACGAGTGGTAGCACCGGCACACCAAAGGGTGTGTCCGTGACGCATAAGCAGCTCAGAGCAAATCTCACAGCCATGGGAGATGTACTCGCATCGCCTTCGCGTGATGCTGGAGGGCTGCGCTTCTGCTGCTGGCTGCCACAATATCACGACCTTGGACTGATTGGCAACATTGCTTTTTCGATCGTCGAGGGGGCGAGCTGCACACTAATGTCACCCGCGTCGTTTGTCAAGCGGCCGGTGCGGTGGCTCGAAGCAATCTCGTACTACAGCGCGACGCACATTTTCGCCCCTAATTTTGCGTTCGAGCTCTGTGCCCGGAAGGTGAGGGACGAACAGCTCGGTCGGCTCGATCTGTCATGTGTTATGTCCGCCGTGAATGGGGCGGAGCCTTTGCGACCTTCGACGATGCACCGATTCTTGGAGCGGTTTGGGCCCTGTGGCTTCCGTTTGGATGCCTATAGCCCGGGCTACGGCTGCGCGGAGAACGTGCTGGTGATTTCTGTCTCGCTGCCGAACCAGCCTGCGCTCGAGATCCACGTGGCGCGGGAAAGTCTGACCAGGGGGTGCTTCATTCAGTTGGTGAGCCCAGAGAATGACGCACATGAAGTAAGGGGCTGTAGTGGGGCACGTGCAAGGAGTGCACGTTCCCGATGCCGCCGGGCAGCAACCCGCATCGATGGTCACACCGTCGCGGCAGATGCACTGTCTCCGTCTCTCCGGCGCACGAGAGGCCGTGCCGTCGAAGAGCAAGAGGTAGAGTCTTCAGTCTAGAGAGGATCCGGACGAGCGCCGGGCGCGACAAGGCTCAAGGGGCAGCCCGGCAGGAACTCGCTGTTTGCCCTTCTCTCGGCGTCTCGCAGATGATCGGCTCACCGTCTCTATAGATACTAGAACTCCTTCGTGTAGTCTGTACGGCCACCTACTCCTTGACCGAACCGCGAACGAAGCCTTGAGGACGAAGGGTCTGCAGATCTTGAGATACGAAGAACTGGAACTGCCGCCGAGAGGCTGACGCTGAGGGACTGCATGTGCAACCGAGCGACAACTCAGATAACTCACTGAGAGACACCCAGACAACCTCAGAAAGAGACAGACCTAGACAACACAAGAGACAGACAGACACACATACACATACACGAGAGCTTTCTAGGCATCCCTGTCTACGCCCCTAGTAGTCGTACTCCCCCTCCCCGAGTGGGTTGTCCAGGTCGCGGTATGACGCCAGCCGCCGAGCCACCCTCTCGCTGTACGAGCTGGGCGGCGGCGCGATGCCCAGCGGTGCCGGGTCGCAGCCGCGGCTCCAAAACGCGGCTGGCACGTCCGCTCGCAGCCGCGCAGCCACGTCGGACGGACCGGCGCCGCCCGCGTCCGCCTAAAGGTGGGGCGAGGTGAGGTGGATGCCCCCGCACACACGCGTGCACGAGGGTGGCGGAGGCAAGGGCGGGGCGCGCCCACCTCGGGTCCTCTCGGGTCCTCTCGGGTCCTCTCGGGTCCGCTCGGGTCCTCTCGGGTCCTCTCGGGCCCTCTCGGGTCCATCTCGGGCCATCTCAGGTCATCTCGGGTGGTGCGACAACCTCGCCCATCTCGCCCATCTTGCGGAGCAGCCATCTCCCCATATCTCCCCACATCTCCCCACATCTCCCCACACCTCGCCCATCTTGCGGAGCAGCCAAGGCAGGAAGGTCCCGTCGCCCTTTCGGCACGCGGGCGCGCGATGAACAATGAGCCCTCGTCCCTCCTTCACCAGTGAGAGTGAACAGGGGATCCTGCTGGTAGGCGGGCGAGCGAGATGTGGGGAGATGTGGGGAGATATGGACCTGCTGGTAGGCGGGCGAGCGAGATGTGGGGAGATGTGGGGAGATATGGACCTGCTGGTAGGCGGGCGAGCGGGGGTCGCAGGCGACGTGGACCGGGAGCAGGCCCGAGGCGGCGGAGGGGGCGAGCAGGTCTGCGCCTGCGATGAGCAGCATCTCGACCGCCGGCTGACTGCCCCGCCAGGCGGCCACGTGCAGCGGCGCCTAGAAAAAAGAGAACAAATCCGCCGAGAAATAAAACCGCCGCCCGGCCAGGCGGCCACGTGCAGCGGCGCCTCCTCCACCACCCTCGCCCGCTGGTTGGGAGGAGGCGGCGCGGCGCGCGAATCGTCGAGCCTCGAGTCGAGCCAGTCCGCCGGAGGCGCGTCGAGTGACGTCCTCCCGCCGGCAGCAGCGGCGGCAGCGGCGGCGGCGGCGGAGGAGGAGGAAACGGACGCGCGACGTCGCTTTGGCGGAACGGCGTCGTGTGCGCTGAGGGACTGGCCGTCGATGAGGTCGGCGTCGGCGTCGGCGGCGTCGGCGGCGTCTGTCGGCACGAGGCGGGAGGCATCGAGGCTCTGGTCGTCGCAGCTGCGGAGGACCGAGGCGAGCACGCCGACGGCGCCTGTCGACAACTCTGCCCGTGAAGAGACGCGACTCGTGGCGGGCTGTGCGATCTGCAGGCTCACGGCGCCGCGCTCGGAGAGGCGCGCGAGCGCAGTGGTACCCATCCGCTCCCCCGTGGTGGTGCAGCGAAATACCGCCTCGTGCACCACCGACCACACCGTCGCCGGCGCGAGCAGCCGCACCAGCTCGCTCTCGCCCGGCAGGCAAATCCGCATCCGGAGCAGGCCCGGCCGCGACTGCAGCAGCGCCGCGACCTCCGCGGCGTGGCCCAGCCGCAGCGCGCTACAGAACTCGCGCCCTGCAACGTCCGCCGTCGCCTCCTCGAGCGGCGCCTCTGCGCGCGGGCGCTCGCGCCGGCGCTTCTTCTCCCTCTTGCGCTCGCGCTTCTTCTCCTTCTTTTCTCGCTTGCGCTCGCGCTTCTCCTGCTTGCGCTGCTGGTCCGGCGAGGGCGACGCAGAGCTCTCGGAGGTCATGTCTGGGTGGTGAAGGCGCTTGTTTCTTTTTTATATTACCCACAAAAGCTTCCCTGCCATAAGCGGCGCGGCGGCGGGCAGCGCGAGGCGGCGGCGCGGCGAGGCAGCGGGCGGCGCAGGGCGGGGCGGCGCGGCGGCGGGTGGGGTAATTAATTATTTGTTAATTCATTATTACTTAATAATCATCGGGCGGCGGCGCGGCGCGGCGGCGGGCGGCGCGGAGCGGGGCGGCGCGACCATCAGCAGACGCCCGGGCCTTTGGTCGCTGGAGCTCGGCAATGGTCGCGCCGCCCTCGACTCAAAAGGGGCTGCCTTCCACGCGTCGCTGCTCAGGCCGGGGGAGGGGGGGAGACCTCCTGTTCCTCGCGGAACGGGAGCAGCCCCCTCCTTGCCCGGTCTGCGAAGCAGGGCGGTGGTCGTGCCATCTTCGCTTCAAAACGACCACGCCGCAATCGTCGCCGGCGCGCGACACGTTCCCGGAGGCCGGACTGTCCTGGTCGAGAGTGTGTGCCGCCAAGGCGGGGCTACTCGGGGACAGTGCCGACGGGGCGCGGCTCGTGAGACGACTCCCGCGAAGGCACGGCTGGCATCCGTGGCGTGGGGCTCGCCTTCGAAAAGTCGGGCATGGCTCTCCCCGCAACTCTATCGCTAACACGCGCGCACCACCGAGACTGTGGTGGGCGCGCTGCGGTCGCACGTCTACCTCCGTCATAGTGCCACGACGTGCGGCCTAGAATTAGCACACGCGCCTCTGCTTGCATACACTCATACATTGGATTGTCATCGCCTGTGTGTGCCTCCCTCCTGTACCTCCCCGCATCCTCCCCCGCTGGTAGCTACCACCATTCTTCCTTCTTCCCCTGCATCTTGTAGAATAGGCTTTGGCAAGTGTGCGCCACCACCCGTCCTTCTGATCCACCCCCTCCCATTCTTGCGCGGTGGATATTTGGCGGCGAGGAAAAAGAAAAGTAAACAAACGCCGTTGAACACAGCTCCTTGGCCACTGGAGCCGAGGCACAACACAAATCAAGTTAATTCTGACCCTCAACAGCTCCTATTAGGGGGAGCCTATGCAGCATGCTGACTCGACTCCAGTGGCCGAGGTGGCGGACGATTTGGAGGAGCAAGAGAGAGAGGGAGTCGCGATTGGTACCCCCGCACGGTCTGAGCGCAAAGGCGCAGCGGATGGAGCAGGATGGTTGGGCCGCTACGCCGTGGGGAGTCGGCGGGAGAGAGGTCCTCACAAACACAGAGGTCCTCACGTCAGACAGAGGTCCTCATAGACGGGGTCCTCAGTAGTATGCGTGCGAGGACCTCTCCCTTGAATGCTGTGTGAGAACCATATTTTGTCGAGCTTGATGCCGAGCTCATCGTTCCTCGCGACGATGCGGGGTGCAATGCCTTTTATTAGCAATTAGGAGAGAGTCGGACCCTCTCGTTCGTGTGCGGTTTATAGTCGTGAGGACCTCCAGGTGTCTGTATCGTGAGGACCTCCTCCTTCACCACGGTGTATTTGCCCTGACCCCAGCCACTACAGACAGTGCTCAACCACAATCTAAGGGTAGACTGAGAGGTAGATAGATGTGGCTCTGCAGCCACTCTAACGCTTTTCGACTCCCGTCCTCGGCTGACCTCGGTCTGGCCTCGCAGTCTCGCTCCCAATACGTGCTTCACTTTTGTGACGGTGTCACAACTTTGATCAACCATATCTCGATAACTACCATGTGTCGACGCTCATGAAAGTAGGCGCAATCAACTGGCGGACCCGGAGTCCGGAGGGAGGGTGCTGAGCGTCGCGCGGTGAGCGCCGCTAATCGCCCCCGCGCCGTGCAACGCCGTCCAACGCGCGTCAGCTCTCACCAGGGACCACGGGGAATCACGGCAGAGGGGGGAGGGGGGAGGGGGTGGATGGGCACGCACGTCATGCTGCTGTACAGGAATATGCCCACACCAAGGCCACTCCCACAGTCTGAGTCGTCAGTTGGGTCCGAGGAGAAGCACATGCGGTAGTGGTTTGAGCCGCCGCCGCCGCAGCCGCCGCCCCAACCCCCGATTGGCCCAGGGGTCGCGGGAATGGTCGCGGTGAAGCCTGACACCGCGCACCCCTGACGAGCGCACGGCGGAACTCACCACAATCACACATCACGGTGGTGGGGAGGTCGGGGGTGGTTTAGCCGCACCGTGCGGGCAGTGTCGTCGTAGGCACTGGCGGGGCAGCTTCCTGATGGGGAGATTTTTTGCAGGGTATTCGGGCTCGTCTCCACGATCAGGCCGTTCGTGCTGCTCCACGCCGAGAGCGGAAACAGGAAGGCGAGGTCGAGCATCGCGGGGCGTCACTGCCGCGTCTACGTTGCCGGTGTTATCTACTCGGTCTGGAACAAGTTGTCGTATCCGCAAACGTAAAAGTGCTCGCTTGAGCACTTGAGCACTTGAGCACTTGAGCACTGGATAGGGTCAATTGCGCGTGGTACGGGACCCCTCGATCGTCTCGCCCGCCCTCACTGGTGTGTTCATTGGGGGGGTCATCACAAACAACATACCTAAAACACGGACGGTACAGGATCGAGGTGCACGCTGCAGAAGCAGTGTCGTCCCCCCTCTCCGTCGGCGGCGATGGCGGTGTGACCGATCGAGCTACAAGAGGAGCTTGTTCAGCAGGATCAGGGGTGAGCCGAGCAGTTCTCACTTCCTCAATGGGTGAGCTTCAGACCTCATCACCGGGGGCTCAGTCTCGATGGGGAGTGGGGGGGGAGAGAGAGAGCAGTTAGGCCTGCGTACCGGTAATGCGAGACGACATCGACAGTTGGAGCCGCCCGCGACTTGCAGAGCGATTGAAAGTTGTCGGGCTACGTGCGCATGTCGCGGGCGACGCCCGTCCGTAGCAGACACGTCGTGGTGACGATGATGGCGAGGAGCATCACGGTGGAGAGGAGCGTCCCGGCGCTGCCTGGGCGGACTGCAGAATTCTCTTTCTTGCACGCTCCGGGACACACGGCAGGGCGCGAGAAACGAGTGGCACGTGCGGGATGAGATCCTTCTTCCTGGTACTCGGTCTGGCCGACGTGGCAAGACTTCGTCTCGCTGCGACCCAGGGTGCGAGGAGCTGTGTTGCGACAGCCAGGGCAAGCGGAGCCACGATGAACAGCGGGAAAGGTGTGCTCCCACCGCAATGCAATGCGCAAGAGCCACAGACGCGCAATGCAGCACGGCCACGTCGCGTCTCGGCAGGAAAGCGTCCCCTTCCCGCCGTAGGCTTTGGCGGCGGCGAGGCAACCCGCGACCACGCCCCCACCGTCTACGACCCACAGGGCAAGCAGCAGGCGATCCACAAGGCGGAATCCTTCGCTGAGTACCTCGCAAAGCGCTCGGAGGCCGGCGGCGGCGGCGCGGCGGCGGCCGGCGAGGCCACTCGAGACTCAGCGCCCTGGCCGGCGGATCCGCCGCCCCCCCCGGCTGCACCGCCAGCCTATGCGCCTCCAGCGGCTGCCGCGCCCACCGCCGCGGGAGGGAGTGCGTACGACCCATGGAAGGACCCTGCTCTGACAGAAGTCACCTTCATGGTGGACGGCGTCCCCAAGAAGTACCGCATCGCCCAATGATGCGCGTGGAGGAACGCCCTCGCGCCCCGCACTGCACAACCGCGCTCGCACTGCCACTGGCGTACGGCTCTACGTAGAGCCACCTCCCTGACCACACTTGACACTTGCCCCATAGCCTCTCTATTTCGCAGCCATAGCAGTAGAATCAGCCACACAGCGCGCATCGCGTCGCCCCCGCTCCCTACGGTCGGTGGCAGCGTCGCGGCCAGACGCACCCCCCACAGGAGCGCTGCAGGAGCGCAGCCGTGCCGCCAGCGCCACAGCTCCCAGGCTGCAGCTCTCGTATGTGAAACGTGTCTCGTCTTCAGCGCACAGAGCGGTTCACAGCCTTGTTATTGAGAAGAAAACACGTCCTATGGCGCTGTGCGCTGGTCTTCACAGAACGTCTCTGCACCGGCGTGCAGAGAGAGCACGCTCAAGCGCACATACTCTATAAAATAAGGAAACGACCGACCGATACGCGTATACAAACTAGAAACAGCTGCCCCTGTGGGCGCGACGTGCGCACATGCCATGTGGATATTCTCTCCCCCCTGGCTTCTCGCCCGGCTCTCCTGCGCGGGTGCCCCCTTCCACGTGCGTGGTGGTATCTCCAAACGATGGCCACCCATGTACTGGCCATGCGCGAGGCGTGTTGGGCAAGCGGCGTGCATGTAGATTCGGGCCGCGGAGCGCGGACGCTAGCCCGGGGAGGGAGAGGCGACTCGGAGCGGCACAACGAAGCGGATTGTCCCTGCGAGCTCACACCTCGGTCGAGGCAGCGGCGGCCAACGCCTCCGCCGCCCTCTCCGCGGCGTCGCCACTCTCTGCGCGAAACGCAACGGGGCCGGCGGCCGGGGCGGCGGCGGCGCAGACATCGAGCTCCGCCCCGCCGCCCACCGCGGCGACGGGAGCGATGCGCGCCGCGGAGCCAAACGGCGAGCCGAGCGGCGGCGAGCCGAGCGGCGGCGGCGCGGGCTGCGGCTCCCGCGAGGACGGGCGGCTCGGCGGCGGGGGCGGTGCGGCCTCTACGCCCGAGCGGAGGAGGACGCGGACCAGGGAGAGGTTGTCGAGCCTGCTTGAGGGGGCGCCTCGTGAGCTGTCCTGTGTGCTGTGTGCTGTGCGTCCAGCAGTCCGGACCCGGTGCTACGTGTCGGCTCACGAGCCAATTGTGTGCAGCGTGTGTGTGTGTGTGTGGGCCCGTCCCTCCATGCTCCGAGGCGTGTCAGACTGACTGGCTGACTTGAGGGGGAAAGGGTGTCCTCGAGGAGGGTGTGTGTGGGGACTGACTACGAGTTGCATGCGGGCTGGGGCGCGGCGGGAGGGCCAGTGGGGCAGAGCTGCGGCGGTGGCAGGAATGGAGGAGGGGGGGCGGGGGGGGAGGGGGGTAGGAGGGGGGGGGGGGGAGGGAATGTGTGTGTTTTTTGGGGGGGGGGGGGGGGGGGGGGGAAAAATCCCCCCCCCCCAACCGGGGGGGCCCCCCCCCCCCCCCCCCTATTCCCCCCAAAAGGGGGAGGGGCCCGGAGTGCCCTTTCAAACCCCCCGTCCCCTTTTGGAAAATTTTGGGAAACAAAACCCCCCCCCCTGTTGCCTCCCCCATTTTTTTTGGGGCCCCCCCCACCCCGGTTTCCCCCCCCCCCGTTGATCCCCCCCCCCTTTCCCCCCCCCCGGCCGTTTTTTTTCCCGCCCCCCCTTTTTTTTTCCTTCCCCGTGGGTTCCAATGCCTCCCCCCCACCGCTTTAAAGGAAATTCCTTAAAAAAAAAGGGGGTGCCCTTCCCCCCAAAAAAGGGGGGCCCCCGAAAAAAAAAAAAACCAAGAAAGGGGGGGGGGGGGG